TTTTCCAACAAACCATGGCCATGATAACTACTATGTGCATTGTCATTGCTATTATTAGACAAGGGCAGGCCACAGCAGCAGGCATTTGCTACCACCCGGATCACAGGGCCCATTGACTCCACAGTGAACCAGCTGCTCTTGACAGGTAGTCCCAGGCCTACTAACCCCGAGGACCAAGTGTGGGGACAGTAGATGAAGGGAGTCTTTCCTGCCTGCTCATAGAAATAAAGGCCCCATCACTCCCTTCTCCATGAACACGCAGTGACGGGTGTAATAAATAAAAAGGAAACCTATTTACACATCGACTGACAGAGGTTTTGTTGACATGGCTTAAAACACTGTGTTAGCATATCGCGCATGATCACACACACATTCATTTTTATAGACCAAACTAAACCCTCCCCTTCTGAGCCAATTCACGCACACCCTTTTCCTTTTCAGACATTAATGGCTGACTGAAGCTAGAAATAAAAATAGCTTTGCTTTAATCATTCTGTTCTATGGTGCTGTTGAGAGAGCTGTTTCAACGACTTCTCATTAAAGGTCTGTGGCCTGCTGAAAACAGAGAAGAGCAGGGACGGGCTCCTTTGAGTCATGGAACAAGCAGTGTGGGTGGAGGTGACCAAGCTGAACCACACAGGTTCAGTGAACCCTGACCTTAGATTAGAAATAAATCTCGCCAGGCAGCAGGAACAGAAATTGCTCTTTATTCCCTAGTACAAATGTTAGTGTCAACAGTGACATGTTGCTACCAGCACTTATCCACGTCTGTCCACTCAGATCTGCTTCAGGTATTCTGCTTTATACTACTGTCTTTGATGTATTATCCCCCACCACTGGCCTCACTGGCCTGCAGCGGTTGGTTTAAGTAATGCCCTCCCAGGAGTCTTGAGCGCAGAAAGCATACTGACAACAGTACACGTCCCAGGAGCCTCACAAAGCTACTTGCACTAAGTGAACATGCTTAATGAATTCACAAGAAACCAGATTTTTAAAAATTAAAATAAGAAAAGAAACATTTATTTTAAAGAAAAAAAAATCCAAAATTATTTGCTAAAAAAACTGCATTTTTGTGATTACATTTATTGGAAGGGTGGGATAAAAATTAAAATGTCATTTAGTTTAGAGCGGCAAACCAACTTATTTCAGGAAAGGATGAATCAATCCTTGGTTACTTCTGAGCATCAAAGTTTACGTAGGTTTCTCTTCGGAACACAGCCTCCATTCAGGAGGCTCCTCTCTTCCCTCTGAACAGATTCTTGGTTTCAGCCAACTCTCAGCGGAGGGGCCACTAGCACAACACCGTCACCCCGCACAAAGAGCATTGGAATATTCCGTTTTGTTGACTGGAAGAAGAAAACAAGAGTACTGTATCCAAATCTGTAGATTTACACAAACATTACTTTGTGTGTGTATGAGACGGAAATTAAAAACAAGACGTGGATCCATCATAACACCAATAAATTAATTTTAGGTTCTGATTACTTACCTTTGTAGCACCCTAACCAATCTATTAAGCAGTTTTATTTTTCCTGAATGATCAACAATTGTGGCAGGGACTGGTGCTGTCACCCCAAACGCATTTAGCACCTTTTCCTGGGCACAAAGCCAGACTATATTTCCCATGCTTTTTTGTGACGAGAGACAGCCATGTAATTTGGTGATAACCCATGGGGAGTGGACAGAAGTGAGGGGACCACATTTGGATTCAAGGCCTCAGATGATGACAAGAACACAAGCGATGGCAGTCACAAGACAGAAGCAGCCCAGGTCTCAGACTGACTACACAGGAAGCCAGTGTGATGTACAACCTGATTACATCTGAAGGGTTATGTGGGTGAAAAACACACTTCTATTCTGCTGAGTCCTTAGATCTTGCTTGTGTGTGTGACTACAGTCACACAGATGGAATGGATACCTTGGGACATTAGCTTAAGGGTCATGCACCAGACTGTAAGGACATACACCCAGCGAGCATTTCCTTGTGAATTAAAAGGGCAGCAGGAGACCATTAGCTGTAGTCTATGGGGCACTCTGGTAGAAGAGCTTGGGAGGAGCCAAACGTTCACAGGGATGCTGTTCAACCTGGAGCACTGAGCGAGTCGCTGTAAGGAAGATGGACGGGGAGAACGAGCTGGTTGTCAGACTGAGTAAAGGAATGTCCAGTGTAAAATAAGTGTGTCATAGGGCTAAAGACCCAGCTGTTTCTAGTGGAAGAGAAGCCTGAAAAAAGGTCAAGGAATCAAGACCCAGTAAAACTTCTCACGTAAACAAATACATTCATCCTCTAGGTAAAAATTAGATGAAGAACACCGTATTCGTGCTTCAATCTCCTGAAGCAAATGGCCTTGTGGGTGCCCACCACGAAGAACTGATGTAATACATGTTCTAGATAGATACTATGTCTTGGAAAGATCTTTGAGTGAGGTTACAGACCCATAAAAGTAGCAGGGTAAATAGATAAAAAAACTTGGGAACTTGAGTTTTTATGAAACTGCATGTCAGAATAAAAAGCCTTTGATCACGTAAGTCGTCTTGTGTGCACAGGAAGCTGGCTGTGACAATGCGGCAGTGAACAAGGACTGCCAGACTTGGCAAATAAAAATACCGGAGGCTCAATTAAAATTTGGAATTCCAGATAAATATCAAATCCCTTTTTCCGTGTATATGTCCCAAGTATTGCCTGGGACAGTAATTAGTTACTGACCAATTGTTGATCTGAAATTAAAAAATTGAATTAGGTCTCTTGTACTTTACTGGCAATCCTCTCGCCAATGCCCACTTCTGGTATGTCCAGGGATAAGAAGCTGTACAAGAAAGTTCCTCTGAGAGAGCAAAAGCAGGGTCCAGAGAGAACAGCCAACCGATGAGCTCCTCTCAGAGCGGCTGCAGAAACCTCTTCCGGGGTCTCATCCACTGTCAGGGTGGGAAACAGTTGTCCTTCCCCGCAGTGCTGGTCACGGGGGCACACACAGTTTGCAGCCAGCTGCTACTCTAAAGCTGGGCAGTTCACACATACTCAGTGGTCCTTCAGAACACAGTGCCTGGTGACCTGCCTCCAAGAGAACCTTATGCAGCTGACTTCTGCTCTGCCAGACACAGCAGCAGGGACTCATGGCAATGAACCTGGACTTCAAGAGTGCATTGTATTTGAATCGACAATCAATGCCAGGGGGAAAAACAATAACAACCCCGCATTAATCAAATGATGCATTATTGCATTTCTGAGACATTGCCAGGAAAGGCCAATTGCCAGAAATTTGTTTGGTAGAGGGTCAATGGCAATGAGGGAAATCTGTGATGGATTGAAATGCTCAAACATACCAAAGACTGAAAGGATACTGCAAGACTGGGCAAACTTTCATTCTGTTGTATGTAAGGTTCCAGGTAGTAGGAGCGGTTGCACCTTGATTCTTTGTGTGTGTGTGTGTGTGTGTCTGGGTTGACAGGTCTTTACTTTCAGTGCTTTCTATATAGCATCCCAGTGCCTCCTGGCCTCCAAGGTTGACGTGGAGAAGTTAGCACTTAATCTTACTGAGGACCCTTCACAGGTATTCTGTGTTTTTCTCTCGCTGCTCTCAAAATGCTCTGCCGCTGGTCTTTAGGAGTTTGATTACACGTGTCTTGGTGAGGACAAGCATCTGGGATTGGCAGGTTTAATTGCTTACTCGGGTCTGGAGGGTTGTCACCATGTCCTCAGATATTCTCTTTGTTCCTTTGTGTCTATCCTCGCCTTCCAGAATCCCCACAACATGTAAGAAGGTATCGCACAGCTCCATTGGCTTTGTTCAATCTCCTTAGTTTCTCTTATTGTTTTGCAACCCCCATTAATCTGCTTCTTTTTACCATTCTTTTAACTAGGTCATCTTTCCTTGCCTTCTTGAATTAAGCAGACAGTTCTTAGGAAAGGCAGGCATAAGGTTGGGAAGAGGCTTCAGTGTGTACATGTAAGAGACCTATGTAAGAAAAGAAGGCTACAAACTCACTATCAGAAAAGTGTATTAAATTTCTAGTCATGCCAGGGAAGTTCACCCAGAATCAAATAACCCAAATACACAATAAGACTCGGATCTGGACACTTGATTATGAAATAGAAGCCTTTCGGTTTAAGAAAATGACCTAAAATTGATTGTACTAATGATTGTACAACTCTTCTTGATATGATTAAACTACTGAATTGTAAGTTATGTGGATTGTGTGCCAAGAAAATTATTTTTAAAAATCTTCTAGTTGAAGCTAATCAACTGAGCCTGAAATTAAATGAAAGTATGCTCATGTGAATATTTTTAGGTTTCCATTACATGTCAGCTACAAGCTATGATAGGCCCCAGGTCCACAGAAATCAATAAAACACAGACCCTACTCTCCACAGGAACCCGGGCAGAGCTGCCAGGTAAACAGTAATCTGCTCGCTGCAAGGTCACACCTGCCAGCGGCAACTCCGAAGAAAGATGAAGCTTCTAGAGTCACCACCTTGGAAACCCTAAGGAGGGTGGCTATGAGCTGGCACCAACTTGATGGCAATGGCTTTGGGTGGTGTTCTCCTAGAATCTTTACTCCAGGAAGTAGGAATTCATCATATATATAGACTTACATCTAAGCAAACTGAGATAATCATTCATACCAGGATAATTTGTATTACCAAAAGATGGAAAATGGCTGCCATCAATAGGAAAATAGTTAAATAAATAAATTATGGTTCTTCCCCCATAAAGGTAAAAACAAAAGAATGAGGAAATGATGTTAGGATACAGAAATCTTAATCCACAGAGCTAAGTGTAGAACAGGTACAGCACTGCTGTTTAAAAAATGGGAAGGGAGGGGAGGGGAAGTAATTAGTATTCAATAGTACAGACACAAAGAAATCAGGAGAATTCTCAAGAAACCAGAGACAGTGACTGTCTCTGGGAGTGGAGATGGAAGACAGGAACGGATGACAGGCTTTTTCAAAACTACCAGTTCATATTTTGTGATTCCGTGAGTTAGAATCCACTTGAAAGCAACTAACATTAATTGTAAATCTATTACCCACTCAAAATTGTAAATTAGAAAGAAAGCACTCTGCAGCGGGTGAGAAAAGAAATACAGCATTTGTTAAGTGCTATATGCTGTTGCTCTATGTCAATGAGTGGAGTTCCAAGCAACCTACAGAACAAAACCTCCCCACGTGGCTTCCCAGGCTGTAATCTCTCTAGGAGCAGACTGACAGGCAAAGTTCTTTTTCCCAGGAACAGGCGGGAGCCAGGTGCTTTAACCATTGCACCACCAGGGATCCTTAAAGTATGCATAGTGGTTTGAACTATGGGATTCTAAGAAAGAAGAATTAATTTTATATGGGGTAGTTGGTCTACAGCAGTGGTTCTCAACCTTCCTAATGCCGTGACCCTTTCATACAGTTCCTCATGTTGTGGTGACCCCAACCATAAAATTATTGCCATTGCTACTTCATAACTGTCATTTTGCTACTGTTATGAATCCGGTGACCCCTGTGAAAGGGTCATTCGACCCCAAAGGGGCTGTGACCCACAGGTTGACAATCGCTGGTCTAGAGCTTCTCTGTCCAATCCAATTGCCATTAGTCATATATATAGCTATTTAAGTTAAAATTAAACAAAATGAAATATCCAGTTCCTTAGTCACATTAGAGAAGGAGGCTAGTGGCACAAATGGTTAAATGCTCAGTTGCTACCTGTAAGGCGGGCGGTTCGGACCTACCTGGTGGTCCTGCAAGAGAAAGACCTGGCCATCGGCTTCCAGAAAGCCCGACGAAGGCTGTTATAAGCTGAAAATGACAGGACACCACCTAACCACGCAACAGTCATACTAGCATGCATTTCCGAATGACAGTAACCACATGGGACAGTGTACATACGGAACATTCTCAGCACCATGCACAACTGGTATTGGGGGAGTAGTGCCGGTCTAGAACAGGTCCAAGGGGCCACATGAAGTCACCCAGAAAGGTTAAATGTAAAGGTTTGTTAAGGTGAGGCAAGAATAGTAATACAGTGAGAGATAAAGTATGAGGTGTTTGATGAAATCAACTCAAATATTCAGACGCATTGCCATCGAGTCAATTCTGAGTTTCCATCACACGATGCTGCAGGACAAGATAAAACTGCCACCCTGAATTTCCCAGACTGGAACTCTTTACTGGAGCAGAAAGCCTCGTCTTTCTCCCAATAAAAGTCACTAATAAGCTATGAAATGGACACTGTAATTAAGGTCGTTCTAGAGCCAAAAGATGAATTAAGATGAGCTTCCATCTTCCTGGTAACAAATTGGTAATCATATCAACAATGTAAGCTATGAAAATATATCTATGCCTGTGGGTCCCTGTAAGTTACTGCGGTGATGCTGATTAGTTATTTCAACAGAGGAAAGAGAGATCAAAATATAAAATGGGTCCAACAGAGGACTCTTTCGTTCTCCAGGTTGGGAGGAAACACCAAGAGAATCTATAAGAGAGTTAACTGTTCTTGAAGTTAAATAGACAATATCTGCAGGAGGAGCCCTGCTCATAGCTGAATGCAATAATGGAGGCAAAGTGGGTCCCACTGTCTGCTCAGTGTGAACCTGGAGAGCGCAGCGGTCCTCCCGCTCTCTGCAGGAATGGAAATTCAACCCCAAACCCAAACTCATCGCCACACTACAGTACAGAGTAGAAAGCCCCTCGGTGGGTTTCAGAGACTATACATCGTAATGAGAATAGAAAGTCTCATCTTTCTCCATCAGAGTGGCTGATGGTTTCAAACTGCTGACCTGGTGGTTAGCAGTCCAAAGCATAACCCACTGTCACAAGCAGAATTCAAGACTAAGGCACGAAAATGTTCATGAAAAGTGTGTTTCTATAGTGAAACTCTTATGTTAATAATGTTGTATGGAAAGGGCACAATATAAAAATGTCTATTTCATATTTTCATCACATTTAAGACATTATTTGTAAGCCTCTGTTGAGCTAAAAAGGGGAAATTGCAGCCAAGTAAACTATGACAATTCTTGCTTATTAAATGAACTTTACAAGGAGTCCTAATTTCAGAGATGCTACAAATGAGAAAAAGAAAGCATGTCTCAGAACTGGTACACGATGGCCTATCTATGTTAAAACAACAAAAGCCAGGAGGGAACCCAGGAGAGAACGGTGACAGAATATTTTCGGTGGGTATTTTTGGAAGGTCAGATGAGTGCTTTTATTTTCTTTGTATTGTTCTTGCGTTTACAAGTTTTTTTGACATGTATTAACTTTATGCTCAGAAAACTAAGTATCTGTGTATACAAGGTGTGTGCATATTCATTTAAAAGTGCAAGAGAGTCAATGTTCCTCTTCTGGCATTTCCTTTCAATCGTGACTCGTTGGATATTGTTGGGAAAGAACTCGCACAAAGTAGCCGGCCAGACTCTTTCTAGACTATCACCTCACACAAAACAATTCCCCTGGTCTGAACATGGCTATGGGTGCTGGCAAATACAGCTGGAACGTTCATTTGCTCCAGATGCATTCCAAGATGAGGTTTTCACTTTTGTCTTTGATGTTCTATCTGGTTAAATGTGCCACCATCACCACCCTATCCTTCTGCTTTTGGTTTTTGCAGCTTTGTCAGACTGAAAACGATGTCATATCACACACTACACAATGATGGGGTCTCATCTCTACCAAATTAAAAAATAATAATAGCAATGACTTTTCATAACTTCTTAAAAACTGTGAAACCCATATTGTGTGATCTTGACATATAGAAATAGCACCAAATTAAAGTAAAGTGATAATGGTCTCTCAATCATGAATTTATCAAACTCTTTATATAGCCACTGCTAGGGCCAATCCTAACCAGACCAAACGTACTGCCATCAAGTTGATTCTGACCCATAACGACCATTTAGGGCAGAGAAGAAATACTCCTTTGGGTTTCTGAAGCTATTAATCTTTACAGAAGCAGAGGGACTCATCTTTCTCTCAGAGGGGCTGGTGGGTTTGAACTGCTGACATTGGGGTTTGCAGTCCAACACAATCCCACCATACCATCAGAGCTCCTTACTGTTAGGGCAGTGGTTCTCCACTTTTCCTGTGCAGAAGAATCACCTGGAGAGTTTGTTAACTGTTTCCTGGGCTTCATCTCCAGAGTCTGGTTCAGGTCGGACTGTAGACCTTGAATTTGTGTTTGTATGCTACAGTGCTAACGTTCCTGGTCCAAGGAACATAAAATAGATCTAAGAGTTCAAGGATTTCCCCCACAAACTTTATGCAGCCCCCATCTCTACTCTCTGTAATTATGAAGCAGTACTTCTTTTGGGCTTTCAGGACCTGAGTCCAACCCTACTAAGACCTCCAACTTTTAGCTAAACGGATCTTGTGAAGGCACGTGGCTTAGAACACACAGAACAAACATGGAGAGACTAACGTCTCTTATGAATAACAAATGCACATAAAGTAATGACTGAATGCCCATATTTAGGGGGAAAAATAGCGAAAGACTCAGGAGTGGTTGGGGAGAGGAGAAAAGACAATACAGAGCCTAACTACAAAACCAACAAAGAATTGGCTTTCAACCATTTCAAGAGGTAGCCAATGATCAAGAACAAGCGGTCCTGTAGGAAGAAGTCCACGCTGTACTAGCGGCATTAGCCCAAAACAATGCTCCAGAGACAGGAGGAATACCAATTAAGATGTTTCAACAAGCTGATGAACCATGAGAAGCACTCACTGAGCCAAGAAATTGGGAAGAGAGCTACCTGGCCAACCGACTGAAAGACATCAATATTTATGCCCCTTCCAAAGAAAGGTAACCCAACAGAAAACCAGAACTTACCAAATAACATCATTAATGACATGCCAAGTAAAATTTTGTGGAAGATATTTCAAAAACCGTCACAGCAGCATATCCACAGGGAGCTACCAGACACTCAAACTGGATTCAGAAGAGGTCACAGCTTGAGGGATATCACTGCTAAGGTCAGAGGATCTTGGCTGGAGGCAAGGCTATACAAAGAATGTAAAGACATTCAACTGTGTGGATAATAACAAAACTATGGGTAACAGGAGAAGAATGGGAATTCCAGAACACTTTAATCATGCTCACGAAGAAGCTGTACATAAACCAAGAGGTAGTTGTTTGAACAGAACAAGGAAAAACTTCCTGATGTAAAATCCGGAAAGGCTTGCATCAGGGGAGCTGGATTCTAGAAAGTGGCATCAAACTTGAAGGAATGCTTGTTAACAACCTGCAATATGCACGTGACCTAACTGCTTGTTGAAAGTAGAGGACTCGAAGCACTTGCTGATGAAAATCAAGTAGCCTTCAGTATGGATTGCAGCTCAATGTCAAGAAAACCCAAATCCTCACAACTGGCCCAACAAACAGCACCATAATAAAAGGCGGAACGAGTGAAATCATCACCAATTTCATTTTGCTTGGATCAACAGTCAATTCTCATGGAAATGGTAGCCAAGAAATCAAACGTATTGTACTGGGTAAAAGTGTTCCATAAATCACAACCTTCCTCTAGTTCTTAAATGCTTCTTCCCCACCACTATCATGGTCCCAATTCTACCTTGCAAACCTGGTTAGACCAGAGGATGCACAGTGGTGGAGATGGGAGCTGGAAACACAGGGAATCCAGGATAGATGAACCCCTTGGGACCAGTGGTGAGAGTGGCGATATCGGGAGGGAAGAGGGAGTCTGGGGTGAAGAGGGGGAGCCGATTACAAGGATCTACATATGGTCTCCTCCCTGGGGGATGGGCAACAGAAAAGTGGGTGAGGGGAGACGCTGGGCAGTGTAAGATAAAATAATAATTTATGGATTATCAGGGGATCATGAGGGAGGGGGAATGGGGAGGGGGTAAGAAAAATGAGGAGCTGATTCCAGAAGCCCAAGCAGAAAGCGAGAGTTTTGAGAATGATGAGGGCAACGAATGTATATGTGCTTTACACAATTGATGTATGTGTGTATTGTGATAAGAGTTGTATGAGCCTCACTAAAATGATTAAAAAAAGAAAGGAAAAAAAAAGCGTTGCATAAAGACTTCAAAGTGTTGAAGAGCAAAGATGTTACTTTGAAAACCTGGGTGTGCCTGACCCAATTCAAGGGCTCAACCTAACAACAATGATGAGGAAGGGAGTGCGTCTGCCTGTTACACAGAGGGACATTACGGGTAAGGACTGCTTTCAGGGCGACTACCAACAACCCATTGCACTGAGTCTGCGCAGGCTCACACGTGACAAGCTTTCCACAAATGAGTGTTAAGCTGTTGGACATTTTCAAAGTGATGAATAGAATTTTAAGACTTACTTTATATATCTCTTCATATGTCTCTTCATCAATTTCTATAGTAGTCACAGTTTCTTCCACATCTCCCAGTATCATATTTAAATGCTGATCATAAGCCTGTAGTGGGAAAGCAGGGTCAAGAAATTTAACCATGAAACTATGAAAAATTGAACAAGGCTTATATTGTGTAAATGGCTCAATACAAACAAGAATATGTCTTATACAAATACTACAAACTTATGCATGGGAGAAAAACAATCTAGACTGTACTGATACATTGTTTTATTGCAAATCACTTCCAAAGATCACTTAGTTGGTGTGACAAAAATATAAAACTGCTGGCCAAAAATGAATTTACTTAAAAGAACCTGAATTTATTATCCTTAAAATCTAAGGCAGTCACATTATTTATGATATTTAATTATGAAAAAGTGAATTCATCATTCATTAGACTTTCCATTTTAGCTGTAAATTCTAACAAGAAAAATACCAAAAAGGGGATAAGACAGCCCATGTTTAAGTGGTAAGGCTATGGCAGAGCAATTTCCTAAAGGTAAGTCACTGCCATTGCACCTGTCCTCCAATGGCCTACCGATAACCCATACAGAACTCAATCGTGTTCCATATGTCATTTCCAGCAATAATGTGTCAGCTCACATCTTTAGGGATGTCTTCCACCTAAGCTCCAGTTTCTGGTTTTTACTAAAAGGTGAACTCACTGGACCCTTGAACAAAACTCACTAATGTAGTGTTGGCTGCTTCATAGTTCACACCAAAATCAAAGTGGGAAACTGTTAGAGCACTCTAATGAGATAAAAATCTACAGTCAAGAGGTAGAAAAACAGAAAGGCTCATAGAGTAATGAAAAATTACAGAGACAATGAGCAGCACATGTGATTCAGTTTAACTTTTCTCTCCAAAAGGCCACTACTCTGTTCCTGGGACTCCTCTCTTTGCCTAGGGTTGGTGTAAAGCAAGACCCTCACTTCCTTCCGAACCATGTTAAGATCACTCATCTTTATAAGATTTATGGAAGTGGCATCACAGTACTTAAGAGTAGGTTGATATTATGGCTTTGCCTTTAGTCTGAGCCAGCTTCTTACTATGGCTCTCCCTTTACTGGCTGTCACCTGAAGCAACTAGGGTCGTCCTTCTGAGCCTGAACTTCCTGAACTGTGAAACAGATTAGTATTGGACAGGGCTGTACTATGAAGAATAAAATGTTATACCTATAGCATTTAAAATAAGCTCCCTCATTCTCTCTCTCACTGTCATTAAGTGTATCCTGACTTACTAGAATCCTCTATTAGAGTAGAACTGCCCCTTCGATTTTCCCAGGCTGTAACTCTACATGCGCAGAAAACCTCATCTTTCTACAACAAAGTAGCTGGGGATTGTCAACTGCTGACTTTGTGTTAGCAGCCCAACAGGCAATCCATTATGCCACCAGGGCTCCTTTAGAGCAACAGTGCCTGGTATTTATTTAACTGTGCTAAAAATATTAGTTGTTTTAAATCAATATTGGGTAGTAATAAAAACAGCACACCCAGAAAAGCTAAAAACCATCAAGGAGAGACAAACCTTCAGTTTACTTTTAATGAATATATCAAACCACTGCAAGGGCCTAAACTTTTAGAAATATTTGCAGAGATGAAGAAAATATGTATAAAAATGTTCACAGTAACATTCTTTATAGTGGCAAGAAATGCAAACATCATTACTAACATATACCAACTCTTATGTAATTATTAAAAAAAAAAAAAAGGAGACTTCAATGCCCTCATGATCAATGAGGTCCAAGAAAGACTCAAAGAAAAAGCAAGCGGCTGGGAACCCAGTACAGCGGGAGGACATTCATGTGTTTTTAAGGTTGGTGATGGTGCTTGAAACCCTCAAGTTGATTTAACTCAATTCATCTACCAGAGCAGAACTGACCCATGGTTCTTTCTAGGCTGTAATCTTCATGGGCCTTGGTGGCGTAGGACTACGTGGCTGATAACCACAAGGCCAGCATTTCTAAACCACCAGCTGCTCCGAGAGACAAAGACAAGGCTTTCTATTTCCATGAAGAATTACAATCTCAGAAAACCCAGGGGGGTAGTTCTACCCTTTCTTACAGGGTTGCTATGAGTCGAAATCAACTCCGTGGCAGTGAGTCCCACTTGTTATATGGGCAGATCATCAGGTGTTTCTTCCGGAAAATATCTGGGTGTGTTGAAATCACCAACCTTGCGATTAATGGTGGAGCATTTTACCATTTTGCCTCCAGGGCCCCTAATGGTGATATGCAGAATGAAAATACATGTGTAGAAGAGGGGGTTTTATAAAGTTCATGGAAAAACTCCATCATCTTTTCATTCCAATTTTGTCAGCTCTCAATAATTCTTCTCGGATACACTGCACTTGATCAAACCCCACCAGGCATTATATACTCTCCTCCCTTTTCGCTGCCTTCAATTTTAGATCTCTTGTTGTTGCCTTATCCCTGAGTTTGTTGGCTCCCCACTTCCACTCCTCACCTCCTCCTCTCCCATGTCACCTCAGAAGCCCACATGGAAGAAGCACACCAGCCTGTGTGATCATAAGGTGTTGACAAGAGCAGGTATCAGGTATCAAAAGATGCAAACAATTATATTAATGTGAAAGAAGGGAGTTGAAGGGCGACCCAAAGCCCATTTGTAGACGACTGGACATCCCCCCACAAAGGGGTAACAAGGAAGGGACAATTCAATCAGGATGCAGTATAGCACCGATGAAACACACATCATTCCGCTAGTTCCTGAATGCTTCCTCCGCTCCACCCGACTACCATGACTGTTCTGCTTTACAAATCCAGCTAGACCAAAGTACACACACTGGTACAGAAAAGAGCTCTGGACACATGGAATTCAGGACAGATAAAACCCTAAGGTATAGCAGAGGGAGTAGCGATATCCTAAGGGTAGGGGAATGGTGGGGGTGGAGGGAGAGAGGGGGCACCCATCACAAGGTTGCATATATAGCTCCCCCTCCCAGGGGGATGAATAAAAGAAAGGTGGGTGAAAGGAGACAATGGACAATGTAAGACAGGAAATACTAATATATTATTGATCAAGGATTCACAAGGAAGGCACATTTATATTGAGAAAAAAAGGTTTAAAATTCAAATAAAATAGTTATATCAGGCTGACAGAAATGTGGGTGTGTTTCCAACTCCCTCTGGCACATTTCAAAACATTCTTTCACATGGGTAATTTTTACATTTCAAGAGGGTGGGGACAGGGAAGGATGATTTCAAGGTAATTTAATAAATTTACTTACATGCAATCTTCCTCGAAGCTCTCGGTCATTTCGCATTTTCACATAAATGCGTTCATCCAAGCTGAGCCTAATGAGATCCAGAGGCTCCTCTACTGTGTTGGTAGTTTGTTGCTGACAAAAGAAACAGGTTTTGTAATATAGAAGTAGAGATAGTGCAGTTTAGGATTACTGCTCTGCTGTGTGACAGTGGGCAGGTTACCTAGCTTCTCTGAGCTCTCGTTTAATTTGTAAAATGGGGAGAAGTTACTTCTTAAAAAGGAGGGCAGTGAGACTCCATATCACCTACTTCGGACATGTCAGGAGACAAGTCCCTGGAGGACATCATGCTTGGTAGAGGATCAGTAAATCCTCAAAAGATGAATTGACTAAGTGGCTGCAGCAGCCATAGGCCCAAACACAGCAATGATTGTGAGGATACAACAGGGCTGGGCTGTATTTCTTTTGTACGTACAGTTGCTATTAGTTAAAATTGATATGATGTCTAACCATCGTGATCACATCCTGTTCTGAAGATCAAATTATATATATCTAGCCCAGGTGGTGTAGAAGCTATGCGTTGAGCAGGGTCGACAGTTCTAAACCACCAGCAGCTCCTAGGGAGAAGGCTGGGCTTTCTACTCCTGTAAATAGTCTCCCAAACTCACAGTGGGTTGCTATGAGTCAGCAATGACTCAATGGTAGAGTCCCCCACTGATGATGTATTCAAGTTATAACCACTCACAACCATACAGTGTTGTTGTACATCTTATCATTGATGATAATTAGTAAACAGAATGCTGCAGATGGCAATTTACTGACGTTGTCATTCTGTTCAACACTGTACAGCAGGCTATGGACTGGTCTATAGTGACATCTGTGTCAGTGTAGGGAATTCTAACAGTTGAACAATGCCCAACTCTAATGACTTGATATTTGAACTACACATGTGCCTGACAGCCAAAGGTTGCTTTTTCAAAATGGTGTCCTTGGATGAATCAGTTTATTCAGTTAACACACATTTGCTGAGTGTTTCTAGTACTGCTTTAAACCCTGAGACTAAAAGGGTTAACAAAACAAAAGCTCTGCTGTCATGTAACTTAAATGCTAGTGGAGGAAGCACATGTTTAATATGAAAAATATGGTTTGAAGAAAAGTGAAGGGGGTGCGAAGTGGGATTATTTTAAGTAGGTGGCCATGGAATGACTCTTGGATGAGGTGCTATTTGAATAAAAAGGTGAAGAAGCCATGGCTCTATTCACAGATATCAGAGAAATAGCATTTGGGGAATAGGGGTGAGCTAGTGTTGGACCACCTGTTAGTCAGCATCTCAGTTCCTCTCTATTTTATATTTATGTTAACTGCTAAGTCTATGTCACAAGCTCAAGCGGGGGCGGGGATTACCTCGTCATTAGTTGTTGCCTTGATGTCTAGTACAGTGCCTAAATGTGCAGAATGAGTCAATACTGCTACTCCTAACTTCAGTACATTTTCCTATTAAACTCCAAGCAGCTCCGGGAAGCAGGCAGGGATATTTTTATTCTACAGATAAAGGGCAGACTCCGAAGTGATCGGTCGACAAGCGGCTTCAAGCAAGAAATGACCTCAGGTTCCGAGGCAAAAATTCATACAGGGCGCAGTTCCACAGGGGATGGAGGCAGATGAGACCGTGAGGGACCAGAACAAGTCGGCACGACAGGTCCCTTCCCCGAGAGCTTGGAGAAAACAGCCCGGTTTGAGGCCTAACAAGGTCAGAGCTGGAGGTGGAAAAACCGCTGAGAAACCCGCTCCTTAGAACTCACTCACCTGGTCCACATCGTCCGCCATGTTTCAAATTCTGAGCCTTTTCCCTCCTCTCGCGAGAAGATCCGTGCATCCGGCGGGCGAAACCGCGCGGGCCCCCACGTACCGGAAGTGGCGCGCGCTGCCGTGTCTCCTTTGGCTGCCTGCAGCTCACGTGGGCTGTTCGGGGGCGGGGGGCGGAGCCTGTCCGAGCCGGAGGGGCGTGGCCCGCCTCGCTCCGCCCAAAGGCAGAACCCGCGTACGAGCGATCACCTTCTCCCGGGTCCGGTCGGCCGTCGTGGGCCCCAACCTAGCGGCTGCTATGGGTCGGAAGCGTTCGGCCTGCGGGGAGCCGCGCCGGCGCGAGCCTCGGGGACGGAACGCTCCGGAGGAGAACCCGGGCCGGCGCGAGCAAGAGGCAGCAGGTGAGAGCGAGGCCCCATCGGGCTGAGGAGCGCGCCGCGAGGCAGGTTTGGGCATGCTGGAGACGGGTTGGGCTTCCGACCAAGGTCTGGGGTTCGGAAGCGCCAGCCGCTCCCGGGAGCAAAGAGGAGGCTTTCTGCTCCTGTGAACAGGTAGACGCGGAAACCCACCCACGGTGGCAGTTCTGCCCTGCCCTGTGGAGTCGCGATGAGTTGGAGTCGACTCGCGGGCAGGAAACGGGTGAAGGAAGAGCTCCGCCAGCCTATTATGTCACTCTCCCAGCCTCCCAGGACACCTTGGTGCGCCGTTCCCAAAGTGGGATTTGCTTGGCGGTAACTCTCCGGAGCCCGACCTGAGCAAGCGCTCCCTTGTGCAGCCTCTTTAATTCTTCCTACTACACGCTGGTTAATAGGCTCCCCAGCGATACGCGTATCTGAGTGGAGAAAGGCATTGCAGGGATTTTGCACGCCCTGCACGACGGGCCAAGAGAGCCTTAAACGAAAGTGCTTATTAGGACTACTTCATCCCAGAAGTAATATCTTCAGCAAAATCTCGCCAGAGTATTAGATTAGCCGGTGATAACGAAACGTTTTCTACTTATCATGGACAAAGCAAAACTCTTGAATTTCCCCCTTTAAACTTGTTCCCGCTCCAGTTTTTTCTTCTTCCCCATTTCAGTACATGATCGCTTTCCTATTTGTCAAAAGCAAAGCCCTCCTTTCCTGCCGTGTCCCTTACTGGTGCACATCCAATCCATCGGGAACCTCAGATCTTTAACTCAGATCTGACCACTTTTTATTCCCATGCCTGCAGCCCGTGTGCAAGCCATCAGTTGAATGATACAGTAGTTGTCTTTTTGCGGTTTCTCTCTCTCTCTCTCTCTCTCTCTCTGTGTGTGTGTGTGCCTTGTAATCAGTTTAACACCAGCTCCACGGCAAACTCAATGGATTCACCATGTCCTTACCATAAAACCCTAATTCTTTTTGATGGCTGTAAGATCCTGTGTGATTTGGCTGCTGGGGCCTCTCCTATCTCTGTTTGCCTTCCTTTCCATTCCTCAAATTGTGACCAAACTATTCCTCACCTGAAACCATTACCTTTCATGGTCTTTTTGCTTCCTATATCCTTCTGTGGCTCTTGACATGGCTGATTGCTTCTATACCTCCAGGTCTAAATTCAGACAGAGCGTTCTGTCTTCCGTGATCTTTCCCAGGTACTCTGAAAACCCCTGACAACTTCTGTCATTTCTCCATTTATCAGGACATTACTACCTATTGGTCCAGTTGTGAGGATTGTGGTCTTCTTTACATTGAGTTGTCATCCATACTGAAGGCTGTACCATCCTTGTTCTTCATCAGCAAGTGCTTCAAGTCCTCCTCTCTCATCAAGCAAGGTTGTGTCATCCAGTGTCATAGGTTGTTCATCCTTTCGCCAGTCCCGATGCCACATTTTCATATAATGCAGCTTTCTTGATCATTTGCTCAACATTCGGACTGAATAAGTGTGGTGCAAGAATGCAACATAGTACTTTGACTATTCTTCCCCAGTGCCATAAAAGAAATGTGTCGTATTTTCTGCTGCCTGCCATATTGTCCGACTTTCACGTGCATATGAGGTGATTGAAAATGCCCTGGCTTAGGTTAGGTACACCTGAATCCTCAAAGTGATGGCTTACCTTTAACACTTTAAGGAGGGCTTGTAGAGTATATTTGCCCAGTACAAGATGTCATTTGATTCTTGACTGCTGCTTTCATGTGTTGATTTTGGGTCCAAGTAAGATGAAATCCTTGACAACTTCAGTCATTTCTTCCTTTATCATGATGTTGTCTATGGGTCTACTTGTGAGGATTTTTGTTCTTTGCATTAAGTTGTAAGCTCTACTAGAGACTGGAATTTGGTATTTTTCAGTAAGTGCTACAAGTCCTCTTTGCTTTCGGCAAGCAACATTGTCTTCTACCTTTTGCAAGTTGTTAATGCGACTTTCTCCAATTCTGATGATGCCTTCTTTGTTTAGTCTACATAGTTCTGATACTGTGCTCTGCTTCATACAGTCCTTGGATTATTTGTTCAGTTTACAGATCAAATAAATATGGTGAAAGGATCCAACCCTGACACACCTTTATTGACTTTGAACTACAGTGTGTCCTCTTCTGCTCAAATGACTTCCTCTTGGACGGGTGTGCTCCATGTGATCACAGCGATGCTGTGTTGGGATTGCCCATTCGTCACAATGTGGTACATAGTTTGTTATAATCTACAGAATCAAACACTTTTGCTTTCCCTACGTGTACCACTCTTGATGTCATCCCACAACTCATGTGGTCATGTTGGATGCATTAAATCTGTTCTTGAGACAGTCTCTAAATTTGGGTGGAATATAGTCAAGGTTGTGTTCTGCTGTCAGGGACTTGTTTTAATTTTCTTTAGCTTCAACCTGAATCTGTCTATGAGCAATTGATAGTCTGTTCTATAGTTGGCTCCTGACCTTATGTTAGCGGATGACAGTCAACTTCTCCATCTTCTTTTGGCTCAGATATGGTCAGTTTGATCCTTGTATATCCCATCTCTGAGGCAGTCAACAAAATATAGTCAACAGTTCTTTCTGATAAAAGGCGCTGGCAGTGAATACTTCTTTGGTCTTGAAGATTTTTATAATGTGTCCACCAGCTTAATTTCGATCCTCAAGGCCACAGTTTCTAATTACCGATCCTTCCTCTGTTTCCAGCTTCCCCATAGCAATCACTAGTAATTATTAATGTATCTTTTTCCTTGTAGGGCTATAGATATTTTCACACAGCACTGTATTTGAAGATCGGTCTTGTAATGGTCTTTTTGGTGGGAGGGTGGGAGAGGGAGAGAAAAAAGAGCTAATACCAAGGGCTCAAGTAGAAAGAAACTTTTGAAAATGACGATGCCAACATATGAACAATTGTGCGTGATACAATTGGTGTATGGATTGGTATAAGAGCTGTAAGAGTCCCCAATAAAATGATTTTATTAATAATTTTTTAAAGTGATGGTCTTTTTGACAATATATGCTTCAAGATTAATATTTCATACAGTTCATGTTCTGGTTATTAATAGGTGTTTACAGCTGTTCCTTATCATTTTGAGCTATCAAATGAAAGTCCTGAAAAACTTACTCTTATCCATATCATTAAGGGTCCTTCGGGAAGCTGCTCTTACCCAGTCAGACTTGAGTGCCTTCCAACCTTGGGCTATTCTTCCTCTCCTGTATCAGACCGCGTCCTCCCGCTGTTATAAAGTTGTCAGTGGCTAAGCGCCTTTGATATGGACGGATTCCTTCTTCCGAGTCTCTCTCAGTCTGGAAACTCCTCTGAATCTGGTTGATCCTGGGAAACCCTGCTGGTATTTGAAATACTGGTGGCACAGCGTCCAGCAACACAAGCTTCCACAGTAGAACAAACTGACAGCTGAGGAGTGGAGCTTTAAGACTAGTTTCTAAAATATGAACTTAGTTTAAAATATTTCATTTGGGTCAAGAAGGAAGTGGAGCTTTAAGACTAGTCTGTACAATATGAACTTTGTTTAAAGTATTATTTCATTTGGGTCAAGAAGGAAATTCTTCAACCCTACCCCCAAGAGCCATGTTCAAGTACCTCTTTTAAAGACAAACAAAGCCACTGCCATTGAGTTATTCTGACTCTTAGGGACGCCCCCTAGGGTTTCCAAGGCCATAAATCTTTACCAGAGCAGACAGCCTCATCTTTCACCCACAGAGGGGCTAGAAGACTTGAACTGCCTACGTTGCAGTTAGCAGTCTGATGTTTATCTAACAGTGTCACCAGGACTCCTGTGCACCTCCTTGGGAATTAAAAATATTTGTCAAAGAGTCTACAGGACAAACTATAAGAGAATGAATGCTAGAGTATTTTTGTTTTCTAAAATTAATTGAAGCAGTCCATTGAATTCATTAAATTAACCGAAATAAAGAAATGGTGGCTTGTTTCAGAGCCATGAGTGTCTGGGTGAATATGTTTGCCGAGTAGAAAAATACACTTCTGTGCCTTATTGTTTGTAAGTTACTTTTTAACTGCTTATGAATATAATTATATGTAAATAAGCAGAGATAACCTAATTTAACTTAAATCAAAAGCTCATTCAGTTTTTAAAATTTTCTATTCACTTAGTAGTTGAGAATAATCTCAGGATAGTAATGTCAGGTAATCTTCACTCTTGCAGTGTTTTCATTTAACAAAACACAGCTATAATTTTCTTATGAAAATGAAAATTTTTTAAATTATCATCTCATAGTACCCTTTAGGTTTTTTAAAAGTGTTTGGTGTAAGAGTCTTATTTGGGTAATAAATGTCTGTGTTTTGAGCAGAGTTTGGTTTTAAAAGAACAAGGACTAGTGGGAATAAGGCTGTGGTAAAATTTGGGCAGGTTTATGAACTTGAACCGTCTCACTCGATAGGAGTGAATTATCTCTAAAACTAAGAGCCTCTGCTGGTAATAAGATTACTTTAATTGGTTCATGTTCTGTCTTTTCTAGAAATTTAAGATTTGGAAGTTAGATTTTATTCGCGCTGAACCATACTGTCTCCACCTTTCTTACTGTCCCTGAACTCATATTCCATTGGCCACCCAGATGTCCTTGAAGATGAGAAGCCCCCAAAGAAGACCTTGCTTTCTAAAGTCTCACAAGGAAAAAGAAAGAGAGGCTGCAGTGATCCTGGGGCCCCTGCTGCTGCTGGGCCAGCGAAGAAGAGAGTGGCCAAGAGGACTGTTCAGACCCGACACCTCGAGGTGGCTAAGGATGAAGCGCTCGATGATGGGAAAGAGTTCAGGTGAGACCACTAAAGGTTCTGACTAGATTTTGATAGTTCCCCGCAGAGGTGCAGGCAGTGAAACTTGCTCTCTGCTTGCCACTGAGATCCATGGTCGAAATTGGATCTTTAAAGCTTTCCACACAAGAGCTCAGCCCAGCTGGATAGAATCTTAGTGATTCTGTAGTTTACCTCCTTAATTGTAGGTACACAACAGTGTTACAATCCGGAGACAGCGATTTCTTCATGGTTGTGTAGATGTATAGTGGCAAAACCAGGTTAGAGTTCAGGTCTTCTGACACCGGGGCCAATGGTCTTCCTTTTACCCAAAGATATTAGACATTTACAAAATATTTGTCATTCCAATTTTATCTGTCAGATTCTCCTATCTCTTGTACACTCTATTCCTGCCCAGTGGTACTTCTTGTCATCGACTCAACACATTCTCACATTTTGCTGCTCCTACGTTGTACTCAGTGGGCCCTGAGGGTGTTGTCAGGTAGGCATTGGACCATTAACTACAAAGTTGGCAGTTCAAACCCATCAGTTGCTCCATGGGAGAAAGATGAGGCTGTCTGCTCCCACAAATGTTTGCAGTCTTGTAAACCTTATATAGAGTTGCGACCAGTCAGAATTGGCTTCATAGGTTTGGTTTTTGGTTATAAGTTGTGTTCATTTGGGGCCTTGTACTTAACTACTTTCTTGGACCTTGAAAAGGTCGATCAGACGTCATCGACTCCACAAAATCTTCATGGCTTCCTCTCCTTTTTCTCTGATATTTCCCATCACCTCTTAAGGCTGTGTTCATGCTCTGCATGCCTTTATTTGTGTAAAACCCCAATCAGACTTACTGCCATCGAGTCGATTCCACTCAGAGCAACCCTATAGGAAGGGTAGCATTTCCCTTGTGGGTTTCTGAGATTGTAACTGTGGGAGGAGAGAGCCTGGTGGCTTCAAACTGCTGACCTTGCAGCTAGTAGTCTAATTCATAACCCCCCTACCCTAATACATAGCCTTGCTTTCTATACCGTTAAGTCCTCAGCAGGCTAGAATCATGCCTGGCTCACTGTCATGTCCCCTGTGGAGAGCAGAGTTCTTTATTTTGCAGAAACTGAGCCAGTTAGTAATTCAATAAAAGGTCATTCCTAGTCATCTGTAGTGACCTATGAATATAAGCCTAGGAAGCGCTTATACTGCCTCCTCCTTTACTTTGTAAAATAAATCCTCACATAAATCCAGAAACCTCAACTGGCCTGGCCTGCATAGGTGCACAGTCCAGTGGAGGATGGCGGTGGAAGGGAGCATGGGAAAGCCTGTCTGTTGGCCACTGTGCTTCTTGTGCTGAGGGTCATTCTGCTGTGGGTTGTTAATTATGCCAAAAATAAGGTAATGGGCTGCAACCTGCCCTGGGGTTAGTCTGTTTTACCTACCTTAACAGATTGGACTGTTTGCTGTGCAGATGAGGTGGGTAAAAATCGTGGGGTTTTTCTCTTACTGTGGAATTCACATGACACTGACGGATCCCCTAGGTAGGCTTATATGTATCACTGGGCTCTTGGAGGCTTTTCCATCTTGCTTCCTCTGCTCTTTCCACAGGAACTCCCTGGGTCCCCTCAAGGTGACTGGGCATCCAGAAAGAGAGGCCGCCCTGGACACAGGCAGCAGCGAAGGGGAGAACGAGGATGAAAGTGACGATGACTGGGAAGAGGTCGAAGGTGAGGCGTCTTTCTTTGCTCTCAGAGCTGATGCTGTTTTGTAGCTGTACTGTCTTATCTGCTATTGTCATCATTGTTTCCTTTTGAAACTAAAAAGACCAGCGGTGGCAGTAGAGACTTGGTGTGGGGAAAATTCATGCCCAGGTTAGCAGGCATCACCATGTAGGTTGAACATTGAGTTTCCTGGTGTAGCAAGATGTTTCAGGCTTACCCTGGATTTTCCTCCTCCAGGCCGGGAACACTCGGGCATTTTCGCCTAGAAGCCCTGATTCATTTTAGTATGGAAGGCAAGATCTTGGCATTAAGTGTGTTCATTGCCAATTTGGTTGTTGCTTCTAGACCCAGAGCTGCTTTAAAAGTGCTGTCACTAAGAAAAGAGGCCCATGGTGGGTAAGCGTTGGGCTGCTCACGGCAAGGTTGGTGGCTCAAACCTGCCAACCGCTCTGCGTGAGGAAGAGGAGGCTGTCTGCTTCTGGAAAGGTTTGCCGTTGCAGACGTGTCGCGGAGCAGTTTTGCTGTGCCCCATAGCATCAGTGTCATTGGAGTGGACGCTGAGGCTAATGAAGTTCACAATTAGACCCAGCTCGGTAAAGCGGGTTCATTCCAGCTAAGGTCCATGGTGAGTGGCGACGATAAAGAAAGGAAAACAGTTCCTTCCTTGTGATTGAGAAGTTTACAAGTCAGGGTTGAAAACAGACACCTCACCCATGACTCTACAAAGCAGATTGTGGTGAGTGTTACTAAACTAACCTGGAGAATAATACAGTTGGCTCTCCTTTGGCTTTTTTTGCTTTTAGGAAAAAGAATAAGTCTACTAAAACACACATGCACATCAGCTCCTGGATAACAGGGTTTTGTATCTTAATTCAACTTCGTATCTCTATGCTTTACATTCGCCATCTAAAGACCGGTGGCTTTGTGCGTCATAGAAGACATGCAGCTTTGTGAGTGGACTGATGCCTTAGAGAGCCTCAGAGCCTGCCTCCAGCAGTAGCGCCACCTGGCTGGTCATCCATTCCTCACATCTCCTTCCCACCACACGTCCATTTTGTGTAGTCGCTATTTTTGTAATTTTAACTAATGGTTTTTCAAACTTATTATTGATAGAGCTTAATGAGCCTGTGCCAGGTGACTTGGAGGACAATGCAGTCGTCTCTAAATCCGTTCTGCCTGTGAATCCCGTGGAGATAGAGATTGAAACACCAGAGCAGGCTAAAACAAGAGAAAGAAGGTAAGATTGGCGCTTACTTCCATATGCCTGTCACACACGATGGACAGCAACTGCGACGAACTGCAGACTTCCGGGTAGACCAGGGGTGAGCATCAGTGGTCAGGAACGGTGGCTGAGAGAGCTCTGGGCTCACCTGTGTCCTGGCCGGGACCAGACATAAAGAAAGGGGGTTCAGATTGCATGCCTGCCGGGCACCAGGGGCTCTGCCAGTCGTTCCTTATCTTACTTAATCTTCAGAGCAGGATGCAAATGAGGAGCGGGGGACAGGGAGATTAAATGATTTTCCAGGAGTCACCCAACCAATGTGTAGAGGAGCCAAGATCTAAATCCATGTCAGCCTGACTCAGTGACATGCATGCTTTTCCCACGTAGCATTCATTCATTCCCTTACCGTGGTAGGGCGTCACCGTGCCAGGCCCTGAGCCATTGTACCTCAGCACCCGGTGTTGATCAGTCAGGGAGTTCCTCTGCGCCGTGAGCTCACATGTGTTCACAGAGCAAGGAGATCATGAGATTCACTGAATGAACTTTACGTTAAAGGTGCGCGGGGCAGGGATATGAAAGAAATGTTATACCAAACGAACGTATGTAAATGTAAGCAAACATAGAAATGAGTGTGCGTTGAGTTGATGTAAAGAACGTAAGTGTGGAGGATATTCGTAGTCTGAAGGTTGGACAAAGAAGATGTCTTGGTGGAAGGGAGTTCTGAGGCAAGTCTTGAGCTGTGGTTCAGTGCTTGTTGAGAGGAGGGCAGTCTGGGTAGAGAATGTTGTCAGCTACAGTTTGAAGGTCACGAGGAGCAGATTCGCATGAGTGGCACCGCCCTCTGCAGGGAAGCAAGGAGAGGGATTCACGTGTCATCACAAGGAAAGGGAATCGACCAGCGGGATGGGATCCGATTTCAAGTCCCCGCTCTGTCCTCTGATTTTTTTCAATCTGCACTGCAGTGAGAAGATGAAAATGGAGTTTGAGACCTATCTGCGGAGGATGATGAAGCGTTTCAATGAAGGCGTTCATAAGGACACACATAAGGTGAGCGGGGCTGTGTTCGTCCTGTGTGGTGGGGCAGGGTAAGGTGGGGCCAGGGCTGTATTTTGTGGCCCCATGAGAAAGTCTCCCGTTTCTCTGAGGCTGCGTTTCCTCCTCTGAAGTGGGCGTAATCATAGCATCTGCCTTGTCGGGGGCTGCGAGGGTAAAGTCAAATATCGCATGTGGCGTATGGTGGGGGCGGAATCGTGTGGACTCTTCCTTGTCGGGTAGCATCCTTCCTGCAAGTTACGTTCAGTCCCTTCACGTGGTAGGTGCGGGGGACAAAGACATCTGTGGAGCTTTTCTTCTGATTAAGGAGTGGACGGACTCAGGGATGAAACAGACTTTGAAACAAGCTCAAGATGACGAAAGCGATCACTGGGTCTGAGCAGCCGAGAAAGAAGCGGGCTGGATCTCGGAGGAAGGACTGCTAAGAGACGGGCATGGCTACAGCACACTGGGAAGATTGCTCCAGCCACGCTGTGCAGGGAGGGCAGGGTGGGGTGGCCAGGCCACCTGGCTGTGGAAGGCACATGGTTGAGACCAGTGAGCAGGAGGACTTTGGTGGTCCTCTCCTGATTGCGATGGGAGTGAGAGATACCTAGTGGGGACGGGACCTAGTGTCTTCAGCTTCCGTAGAAGAGAGAAGCGTCTTTGAGCTTGGAGATGTTTTTTCTTTCGGGGAGTAAGTGCATAGCAAGGATGGTCTTGAGGCTGGAGAGGGCAGGTGACCCGGGCCCTTGGAGATGAGTTCAGATAGCTGCGTTCTAGAGATGACCCCAAGGTGGCAGTGTGGAGCAGAGGGCAGGGAGTGCCGCTGGCGAGGGAAGCTGCTGTGCGTGGGGAGAAGGGAGGCTGTTTTCCGGGGAACAGATGGAAAGCCATGTTTGAAAGACCGGCCATCGTTTCAGAGGCTAGTTAAGGGTGGGCCTGAGATCGGAGGAGGGGCAGAAGTGGGAGGGGTGGGGTTCGAAGCCACACAAGCAGAGCGCCCCACCGAGCTCCCCACTTCCCACGCCCCGGGACCCCTGCCAGCAGCTCCCATGGAGGCTCGGGGTCTGTGCCTGCTCTTCGCTCAGAAGAGCACATCCCAGACACTGTAACACTTCAGCTGTAAGACTTCAGCGTCTATCAGCTTTAAAAACCTCAGCTTCACACAGAAGTCTTGTTTTTGTGTTTTTGAGGGAGTGATGAAAGCAGGGGAGCATGAAAGGCCCGAGAGATGGCTAATGGCAGTGCTTTACTTTCCTGTCTGCAGAACCGACTACGGACTTTCTGCCAGGACGTGCCTTTTCACGTAACAGCAGCCATCTCTGCTAGCTTGAGCCTCTCTTCCATGTCTTCTTCTTCTTTCCTTTCCTTCTCCTGCTCAGGTTCACCTCCTGTGCCTGCTAGCAAATGGTTTCTATCGCAACCGCATCTGCAGCCAGCCAGAGCTGTGTGCTATTGGCCTCTCCATCATCCCACCCCGGTTTACCAAAGTGCCTCTGGAAGATGTGGACGTCGACTACCTCTCCAGCCTGGTGAAATGGTATGCCTGGACCCTGGCCGCAGAGCCCTTAATGTAGGGGTTGTGTTTCTCTCAGAGGGGCGGGGGTTCAGTCAGTTTTACTGATAGTACGTGAGGTGGGACCGGGTGCTGGGCGGTGTGCATAGCACTGAAGAGAGAGGAACCTCGGGCATGGTCGTGGCTACGGCAGAGCTGCTAGATCATTGCAAAGTACTGTGGTAAGTGTTCCAAAGGTGTGCTGGCAGCGATGGCCGTGGGCCAGCACACTTAGCTCAGCTGGGGGATCTGGGAAAGGTCCCTAAGGAAGTGAAGTGTCCGCTAGTCTTTGTGACAAGTATGGTTAGCCAGCCTGGGTGGTGGGAGAGTATTACATAGGCACACGGGTCTCATAATTCCCTTCCCCTCTTGATGTGCGAAGGAGCCCTCCCAGCACTGTAGGTTAGGCATTGGGCTGCTCACAGAGAGGTTGGTAGTTCAAACCCACCAGCTGCCGTTTGGGAAAAGGATGAGGCTGCTCCCATCAAGATTTACAGCTGTGGAAATCCTACAGGAGCGTTCCAATCTGTCCTCTAGGGTTATCATGAGTTGGAACCAGCTTGACAGCAGTGGGTTGTCATGTCCTTGACTATCAAACAGCAGACATGCTCTTCACCCCAACCTGTGATGTGGGGAACACTTTGTCTCTATTCAGGTTTATTGGAACATTTACAGTGAATGCAGCCCTTTCCACCAATGAGCAAGATAGTCTGCAGACTACATTGGAAAGAAGATTTGCCATTTACTCTGCACGAGATGATGAAGAATTGGTTCATGTAAGTGATGCCTTACAGCTGGCAGCACTGTTTTTATTACAGCTAACGAATCATGGTGCCAGTCTTGTCCCAGACCCCATTCCAAGTGTTTTACATACACTTCCTGTTCAGTCCTCATGACAGTTTAACAGGCTGAGATTCAGAGAGGCTGGATAACTGACCTGAGCTCATTCAGGTGGTAAGCCGCAGACTCAGGATTGAGACCAGCATCTGGGAGTCGAAGCTAGCCCATTGCCTTTCTGCTTGCTGGTCTGCGTAGTGAAGTATCTCACTTTGGTCTAATGCCCTAGAAAAGAGGCCTGGTGGCGCAGAGGTTTTGCTGGGCTGCAAGGTCCAAGGCCAGCATCTCGCACCCACCCCCGTGCAGAGAAAAGCGGGCTGTGGACTCCTGCAAAGAGTGCCGTCTCAGACACCCACAGGGGCAGTTCCCCCATTTCCTTGAGGGATGCGATGAGTCAGTGTGCACTTGATGGCAGTGAGCTTGGCTTTGCGGTGTTCGTCCTGGAAATGTCTCTGTCCTGAACCCCAAAACACATTGCTAGCAAGTCATTTCTGACTCAAAGCGATTTCCATTAGTCACTTAAAAATGGGGTTTAGAACTTGAAATACATTTTCAAATTGGTTGCTAAATGGTCATCTTGCCAGCTATTTCCGGAAGCTCCGAATGTGGACGGAAGCTTCTCCAGGAGGAGAGTTCTGTCTAACCCTTTAAAAAGATGAGTTTTCCTTTGTGTGTGTGTGAGATCATAAATATGGGAAGACAACCCTACACTGTAGTGGCACAGCCTCTGCCCCAGAGCAGTGCTAGTGGCCGAGGAAGCCCCGTCTTGTAGAGGTGTTCTGTTGCTTCCTCTCTGTTTAAATGTTCTTTTTACAGTAACGTAAACCTGGAGGGGCAAAAGCAGGGTTGGAGGGTGTGAGGAGTTAGATTTCACCATGAAGTGTTCGGGGAAGAGTCCAGGTTCCTATCAGAGAAGGTTGTTGTTTGGCGTCGCTGAGTCGAGTCTGACCCGTAGCAACTCCTGATACACAACCCAAGGGAACACTGGCCCGGCCTGCACCGCCTCACAGCTGTTCCTGTGCTCGAGCCCTCTGTTGTAGCCACTGCCATTCCGTCCTGTAGGACGAGGGACTGTCCCTGTGAGTTTCGAAGATGGTCACACTTTCCAGGGGTAGAAAGCCTCTTCTTTCTCCCACAGAGCGGCTGGTGGAGCACACCAGAGATAGTTACGTGCTTGTGTTTTCTTGACTATGCCAAGGCATTCAACTGTGGGGCGTATGGCAAACTGCGGATAGCCTTGAGAAGAGTGGGAATTCCGGAACATTTCCTTGTGCTCATCTGGAACTTGTACATGAGCCAAGTGGCAGTTGTGCTAACAGCACAAGGGAATAGTGCATGGTTCAAACTCAGGACAGGGTTGTATCCTCTCACTACACTGATGCAATCTGCATGCCGAGCAAATCCTCAGAAGCTGGATTACATAAAGAAGAATGCTACACCAGGATGGAAGGAAGGCTGCTTAACAACCTGTCGTGTGCAGGGGACACAACCTTGCTTGCTGAAAGGGAGGAAGACTTGTAGCACTTGCTGATGAAAATCAAGGATTTCAGCCTTCAGTGTCAAGAAGGCCAAAATCCTCACCACTGGACCAGGAGGTAACATCATGATAAGTGGAGAAGAGCGAGGTTATCAAGGATTTTGTCTTGCTTGGATCCACAGTCAGTGCTCATGAAACAGCAGTCAGGAAATCAAGAGACACACTGCATTGAGTAAATCTGCTGCACCGGCCTCGTCAGAGTATTGGAAAGCAACGGTGTTTCTTTGAGGACTGAGGTGCACCTGACCCAAACCATGGTGTTCTCCATTGCCTCCTATGTATCTGAAAGTTGGATATTGAACACAAAAGGAGAATCAATGCATTTGAATTATGGTGCTGCCAAAGAACATCGAAAGTACCATCCACTGCTAAAAGGACAAGCAAATCTGTCTCGGAAGAAGTCAGGCCAGAGTGCTCCGAAGACACAAGGATGGCAAGACTTAGTCTTACACCCTTTGCACACGTTGTCAGGAGAGACTAGATCCCGGAGAAGGGCGTCGTGTTAGGTAAGATAGAGAGGCAGCGAATAAGAGGAAGCCCTCCAGGGGGTGGACTGACACAGTGGCTGCAACAGTGAGCTCAAGTGTACGAGCAACTGCAAGGACGGTGCAGGCCCGGGCAGTGTTTCATTCTGTTGTGCATAAGGTCACTCCGAGTCACAACCTCACAGCAACATAGTCATGCTAATGCATAAGTTTTCTTACAAAAGTGTTATCACATCGCAAACTCCCAAACCCACTGCCATCAAGCCGATTTGCACTCCTACCAACCCTGTATTGGTTCCGAGACGGTCCGTTTTGCACTAGAGCCCCTGACCTTGCAGTTAGCAAGCAGTGGCAATCATCTTCCTGAATCACATCTCACCTGCCTTTAAAAACATAAAGCAAGACTCCTCTTTTAACATGTGGTTAGTAGTTCCCTGTATTCTACACTGTTAACCTGTGCGTCGTCATTATGTTCATTTTAGTAATGCTGAGTGCTTCAGTCTCCTGTTCAGACAGTGTATGTGTTTCCACCTTTTCTGTTCCAGACAAGTACTATGACGTACATCGCGAGCTGCTAAAATCCTTGACAGTGTTCCTAGGATAATTATGTCATTCTTTTTCACCACAGATATTCTTACTGATCCTCCGGGCCTTACATCTTCTTACCCGATTGGTGCTGTCTTTACAGCCAATTCCCCTGAAGTCCTCAGTAGCAAAGGTGAGGATCCAGGGAGGAGGAGAAACGATCGCACTTGACATAAACTACACAAACTGAGTACTAGGCCTCTCTCAGCGTGGGAGCCTGCCTGCACCTCAGCCCGGGCGGGGAGGACTTGAGTGGGTAGCTAGCAGCCGGAGTGGCATGTGGGGTTTCTCTCCTGGGTGCAGAGGGGCCTGCCTGAGATCTCGACTGCTTGGCAGTTTATTGTCTGTTCTCTAAAGTAGTAGCTGTTCTCCTACCAAATGGAGGTTTGCCGGGAAGGGTGAATGATGGAGGAAGGGCTGTGAATGTTGAGCTGCCACAAGAAAAGCGTTGGCCTTGCCTGACCGTGATCTCCGAGTCGGTTTTCAGCATTGCTGTGGTTGGAAACCATACTTTGGTTGAGCCCATAGTGATTTGGAAGTAAAATGCATTATATGCCGGATGGGTGTTAATGCTGAGGAAACTGAGACCTAGCGGTCAAATAAATTTATGGAAATTGCATAACAGCAAGAGGCAGAACTGGAATTCGAACCCCAGTGTGTCTTTTTCTAAACCCCAGGTTCTTTCCACCAGGCTGCAGTTTCTACTTCAAAGATTTATGTCCTGTCTGAGGTGCACCAGATTTTAGCTAATACTTTCTTAGATCTGTGAACGGGGAACATCTTGAGTACACTCATTCTTCTGCCAGTAACTAACCCTGTTACCCTGTAGTATTATATCAGTCATTTTTTTTTAAAGCAAACTTCTTAATTTTGTTTAAGGGGAAAAAACCTTCCAAAGAGGGATGCAAAGAGGATGCTGGAGGCTCCTCGGGAACTTCCAGCCAAAGTCCAGGAAATCAAACTAAGCCAAAGACCCCCCAAGGAACTCCACCGAAAGAACCCCTTCCTAAGGCCCTTGGCAAGTCCACTGCCAAAGGGAAGAGGAGCAAGGAAGCTCCAGGCAAAAAGCAGCCGAGACAGCCCCCCTCCAGTGAGGACGAGGGCCCCGGAGGAGCGCAGAAGACCCCAAGACAGCGGCGGGGCCGAGGGCGGCAAGCGGCTGCCCGGGTCTCCTACAAAGAGGAGAGCGGGAGTGACCAGGCCAGCGGCGGCGGCTCGGACTTTGAACTGTCCAGTGAGGAAGCCCATTCTCTGTCTGATGAGGTTTCGGACCCTGGCGTTCGGAGGCAGAGGCAGGCTCCTGCTCCTGCAAGAACAAAGAGGAGGTCCAAGGGGGACTCCTGGCCTGGAAGCGAGCCTCGAGCATCCTCAAGCACTTCTGGCAAAAAGAGAGGCCAGAAAGGGTGCTGTGTTGGTAAGGAGATAGAAAAAAGAAAACCGGCTGGTGTTGACCAATGGCTGGAGGTGTTCTGTGAGCAAGAGGAGAAGTGGGTGTGTGTGGACTGTGTGCATGGGGTGGTGGACCAGCCCCTGACCTGTTACAGATATGCCACGAAGCCCATGACCTATGTTGTGGGCATAGACAATGATGGCTGCGTGCGGGATGTCACCCAGAGGTATGACCCAGCCTGGATGACAGTGACCCGCAAAGGCCGGGTTGAATCCACGTGGTGGGCCGACACCTTGAGGCCGTACCAGAGCCCACTTGTGGACAGAGAAAAGAAAGAAGAATTAGAGGTAAGGCCTGGCTACCAGGGGCTTAAAGACCCAGTCAAGTTACTGAAATGAGTTCCGTTTTGAGCCCCTCGTGTGTGCCTGACATGGTGTTGGGTCTTTTTGCCGAGGTCAGACAAGCCCGGGTGCGGCACGTTCAGGGTTGTTTGGCCATAGACCAGGTCTTTTTCATATGTGACCTCATTTAATAATCACAACAACACCATAAAGCAGGGAGTGTTGTTGCCCTGATGTTACCAGTTAAAAAAGAAGATTGGAGAGATGAATAATTTTCCATACGGAACCTCTTATCCCCGGGAAGGAAGGGACTTGGCCTATGGTAATTTGTTCAGGCTGGGGAGAAAGCATGTTGACTCGTACAGACCTGGACAGCAGGGCACATCTGGTCCTAGGCCCCGCCACCGGCCTGAGAGCAGGCTTGAGCTTCCCGTCCACTACGGTTGTGTCCTTGCAGGGAGCTCAGCCTTTCTCCCTGAGAACATGCCCAGCTTCAGGAAAAATGTACTCCAACGGCTTAGGATGGGAATTACCCAGGCTTAACATTGCCTGCAGCGGTGCTGTTTATCCTATGCTGAACATTTACTCTGGGAGTGTTTCTGGTTCACTTTATTTTAAAAGGCCAGATTCAATGGGAATTATGGAGAGAGTAAATCCTGTGTCGGGGAAACGGAACTGTGAACATCCAGCATTACAGAGGCACTAGTGGTGAAGCGACCTCTTTCTGCTCCACCGTCTGTTATCAGATCCATTCGGTCCAGACATAGTCTACCTCAATTCTCCCTTCTGCTTCTAACCAGCACATTCGACGTTGTCTGGCCCTCGCAGTTTCAGGCAAAACACCTGGACCAGCCTTTCCCCTCTGCCATTGGCTCATACAAGAACCACCCCCTTTATGCGCTGAAGAAGCATCTTCTGAAATACGAGGCTATCTACCCAGAGACAGCTGCAATCCTTGGGTACTGTCGAGGAGAAGCAATCTACTCCAGGTGAGCCAGGCGGCCCGGGCAGCCTTCTGGGTGTCAGGATTACCAGGGATTTCAGCCTACCGCCTGGACAAGGGGCTGCAGGAGCCCATCTCGTGTCCACAGCACCATGCGGGGGGTGGGGGTGGGGGGTGGTGTAATCTAGCATCAGGGCCCCTCTGCAGTTCAGGAGGAGGAATGAGGATTGCGATGAGCACCAGGCTGGTCCCTCTCAGGCGGAGGTCACATGGAACTTCACGCTCCTGCGTTGTCATGGCTCCCCCTGACAGCAGCCTTCACACTTCTGCTGTGCTCGCTCATTTGTTGCAAAGGCCACACAGGAACTGATGGGCTGTACTCCTGATTGTGACTTACCAGGATCGAGATGTAGACACAACTCCAGAAACAGAAGGTAGGTTTTCAATAAGGACAGCTTCCATCTACGGTAGCTCTCAGCTGCTTGTTGGCCATGCCCACTGGCAGGTGGCCCTTCTCTCGCCTGAGCACCAGAGGGAGACCTGCCTGCAGGCGCAACTGACCGAGGCTTTTCTAATTTAAATAAAAGGTGTGGCCAGAGTCATTCCTGATCTTGAATTATAACCTGGTACTTCCCTAACGAATCCCGGAACTATGAGTCTGGCCTGAGAGTTCTCTGTAACCATGGCAACGAATTAGCAGATCCAGCAGAAGAGGGACAGCTGATAACAGAAGTGGTCGAAAGACTGGAGGGTGAAGATACATCTGATTTCTACGTCACGGCAATCTGACGTGGGCAGCTGATGCCGATAATGACTCTTCTGTCCCGGCATGACGTTAGAGACCTTTGATGCCACGGGGCCTCTGGTGCCAGCACATGAGTGGAATAGCGCTTAGCTCTGCATGGCGAGTGATTGAAGCCAGGGAATCTACACACGATCGGCTCTGTTTGCAGAATCGTGTCTTAGCTCCTAGTTCATGTCTATGTAGTCATCCTGGGGTTCACGTTCCCTCTTCTCTGGTGCCTTATCCCCTGGCCCTTGTGTTTAGCCATAGACCAGACCCTCACTGGGTGTGAAGGAATTCCCTTGTGTCTGCGTGGGCCGTGGACAGCACAGAGGAGTCAAGAACGCAGGGCCTGAGACTACAGACAAAGTAGCCGCAGTGGGCTCTGGACACTCAAACCCACTGTCAGTGAGTCTGGTAATAACAACTCCATGTAGCGTGTGGAAGGCTAAATCTGTAAGGGAGCAGACAGCCTCATCTTTCTCCCATGGAGTGGCTGGGGGATTTGAACCACTGCCTTTTGGTGCCACCAGGACCCAGGTACCCCCAGGTAGTGTGCCTGCCCAGATTCTCTGGTTTCCTCAGGAGCAGGGCCTGTTCGCAGCCACGAGGCTGAGCCGGGGGAGAGTCAGCAGGGCTGAGTTTCCCTCGTCTACAGGGTCCTTTCATCGCTCAGTTCTGCAGATTCCCGTGGGACCCATCGGGGGTGTGTAAACTGAGTCTGTCCTTTGTCTCCTGTGTTGGCTTCTGTAGGGACTGTGTGCACACCTTGCACTCGAGGGACACGTGGCTGAAACAAGCGCGAGTGGTGAGACTGGGAGAAGTGCCCTACAAGGTACTTGAGCTGGGGACGCCCGCAGTCAAGCTTGGGACGGGTTGGATGGCAGGGGGGTGATGTCTAGGGCAGGAATCTGGAGATGCCTGACTTTGCTGCCTTGGGGAGGACTTGAGGAGACCAGCATTTAGATGGACTTAAGGAATTCCTAAGGTCGTCAAGAGCATGTAAGGAATCTAGGCCAAACACGGGCTCCAAGGCCCCTTGGGGGCCCCCAGTGGAGGTGTGGTCCTCCAAGGCGACTGCCCACAGTGTGTAGACCTCCTCACTAGTCATACCTGTCCCTTCCGTGGTGCATTCATGAAGACGCTTCCTTGAAGGGGATCTTGATGGTGTCCCCGCGGCCGCGGGCGTTAGCTTTCTCATGCCTGGTGTACACATGTGGACGGGAGCTCAGAAAAAGGGAGTCCCTTGTGCACAGCCTAACAGATGTGAGAGAGCACAGCCCTTTCTCCCTCCCTCTGCTCCTCTCCGCATGCCTGGGGCCAGCGCACTGCCCTACATGGCATCTTTTCTGTCGTTAGTACCGTGTACTGCAGTTCCCAGGGCAGTGTGTACTTTCAGGATGCTACCATTCTCTGATGCCCACTTGCGCACGTTCCCATAGCAGACTTACAAAGGTACTCCTAATAAAAGACAGCAATGATGAACACTTTTGAAAAATGGTATGAGCCAACTTACAGCGAAGCTGTCCAAATGGCACCCCATCATAAATTGGGGACAGCCTGGATAGGAGCGAGAAAGGCCGTCCTGGCAGTTCAGCCACCTGGAGAACACAGCGACTTTCCGTGGAGACGTATCTGCCACCGTCTGTCAGATCCCAAGGAGGCCGGGGACCTGAGTGGGAAGCGTGGAGACCTCCGTTAGTGGGAAGGGGCTGCGGGCATCGGCCCCTTCTAGAAGCAGCCTGACTGCATTCTGTGCCTTTCCCTAGACAGCCCCCACTCCCACCCCCGCCTCTATCTTATGGTCCTTCTCATAACTAGACTCTTCCTTCTACCAGAACACTGTCCGTCTACAAGCAAACCACTCCTGTGACCTCCATATATGAATTGAAGCATTTACTGACCACTTTAAAAAGTACAGAGAAACATGAAATTTTAATATTCAAATATATCTAAACGTTATTTCAACATGTAACATTTTTTTAGTGTTAATGAGGACTTTCACCATGAGGCTTTTCATATTCATCAATATTTCATGTGTTTTATATTTTTAATCCTTCTCAAATCTGAGTAGCAACATTTCAAGTGTTCAGTAGCCCACATGGGGCCGGTGCCTGTTGGCTCGGCCCAGTTCTAGAATAATCCTGAGGGCGGTGGCACTTCAGTGGTAGCACTTGCACCTTCTCTGCGGGAGACTTGCCTCCATGATCCAGCTAGGGCGCCTCATCTGCCCCCATCAGCGGATGTTGCTATCATAATTACGAGGCTTCAGCAGTTCCTAGACCAAGGTAGATGCGGGAGGAAGGGTTGGAAATCTACTACTGAAAATCAGTCCATGAGAACCCTATGACTCAGTAGAATTTGAAATTTTCCTGGAATTCAGACCTCCTTGAGCTACTAAGGCTGGCTGTACCCCCAAACTATTTTCCTGAGATCATCTTACAGCCTCAACTCATGTCCTCGGAAGTCTTTCCGATTAAATCGCCGTTGCTAGATACCGGTGAGTCCGTTCTGACTTGGCGATTCTCTGTTCACCAGAGCAGAACACCGCCGTCATTAGACACATCCCTGAGTTTGAGGACCCCGTGTGGCAGCCGCTGTGTCTGTCCATCTCGAGGGTCTGCCTTTTCCCAGGGAGCCTGCTCGTAGCAAGCATGATGGTCTTCTCCAGGGACTGGTCCCACCTACAGGTGGTCTCCCTTTATCACGCTTTTGCTTATTGTCCAGTGTGGGGATTTTTGGTTTCTTGGCGGGATGACCCACATGGAAAGGCTGTGGTCTCTTCCCCCTTGTCTTTGCCGTGACCTTCAGGTGTGTCATCCCACAGCTTGTCTGGACTTCGGGCCGTCGAATGTATTCTTGAGATGGGCTTCAGAATCATACACTCACACTTGTGATTAGATTTCTCGAGCGTCAACTTGGACTTGCAAAGGTCTGTTTTACAGAGGCCCCCACCTTGTTCTTGCTGATGACGTCGAGCTTTTTCCTGCTTTTCCCACAGATGTTATGGAATCGAGTCATGTGTATTATTCCATCCGGTTAGGTCCACATGTATAGTCACCCTTTATGTGGTTGAAAAGGGTATTTGCAATGAAGACGTTTGTGTGTCTTGCAAAATTCTATCACATAATCTCTGTTGTCTTTCTGTTACCCAGATCAACTGGTGAGCCTTCTTTCTAGCGTTCACAATCAATCAATAATGTATCTTGATTACATGTTCAGTCAATGTCAGACAGAAGTTGGCAAAAACCTTTAAGCTTTGGTACATGAATTTGAATAATAGTTGTATTAACTCTTGTTTCCTGGGAGCGTGTCTTATTTTCCTCTCACGGCCAGTGTTGCTTGAGGATAGACATTGGGATGCTCTCTCTGACAATGACTGTGGTGCCATTCCTCTTCACTGTCGTTCTCAGCGGAGCACGTGATGTGATTGTTCGACTCAGAGTGGCTAAGCCAGCTCATTTCCGCTTACTGATGCTGAGGGTGTTGATCTTACCTGGGATATGCTCACAAGAGCTTATGTCGGCATTCTTTTTTCACAACTTTCAGTTTTATTAGTTTGATTCTGTATACATTCTATTTCTTCGTTACTAATGCATGTTTTCAGTTGTTTCTTATTTTGCCTTGTGCCACATCAGTAAAATAAAGCTCCCCCAAACTTTAGTCCATTCATATCGTGAAGACTGACTGTACCGTGAGGAGACAGCTTTTCTCCAGACGTAGTTTGAGTGCCTTCCGGGCTGAAAGGCGCTCTGGTGGTCTTGTGTGAGCATTAGACTGCTAACTGCAAGGTCGGTGGTTCAAACCCCCCAGCTACGCCCTGGGAGAATGTTGAGGCTGTCTGCTCCGATAAAGATTTACAGCGTAGAAACCCTGTTTCGTGTAGCTGTGCGTTGAAGCTGACTCTGGGCTGGCGTGGCTTTGGGTTTCCAGCGAGGGCTCCCTCCACCTTGCGTACTGGTTCAGCGGTGTCCTGCTGCTTTTTCTCAGGTTTCCAGTGCCCAACTTTCCCACGGGTGCACCACGAGGTGCTCCCAGTCAGTCTCTGAAAGGCCCCCTGCTGCTCTCTGCGATGCCACCGCCATAGTCCTGGCATCACAGTGACACAGGAGCCATCAGTGTGACGAATGGAGAGGAGCAGTAGGGACTAAATAACTCCTGCCATGAGGAATGCATGCTTTTTTAAGAACTATCTATAGGAGATCAAATTGACAGCAGCAACTTAAAAGGTAAGATGACAGGGGAAAAGAGGGGACCCGAAACTCATGTCCGTGGGGCAGGAACCACTTAGAAAAGGATGGTTAGCGCGGTTGCACACGTTGGAGAACGGCATCAGGGTCCCAGAACTGGAGGAGTAGGAAGGACAGGATTGGTGGGTGTGTCGTGTGTACGCTCAGTGACGACAGTACAAAGTTTGAAACCACGCCCTGACCCACAGTTGAGCATGGGGATAATGTGGGACCCTTGGCAGGCGTTTCATTCAGATGCACAGGGGTCTGTGAGTCGGGGCCACAACAGCGAGATCCTTCCCTATTCTCAAACCCGGCCCTGGTTCGCCTGACCTGCGCCTACCTTATTCTCTCTGGCACAGGTCACAGCGACAGCCTCTGCTCAGTCCGCCTGCTCCCACCCACGTTCACCCACTCCCCACCGCACAGTCACAGGAAGCTCTCTCAACACAAAATGGGGTGACACCCACCGCACGCTAGCCTCACATTCCCTCTAGGTTAATGATCCACTTTTTAGACCTGTGATATTCCGGTATCTACCTCCTTTCCAGCAGTGTTTGTCCACAGAGCCCCATACTTGATACTCAGTCAAAAACTCACTGCCATCGCGGTGACTCTCGGTGGCCCCCTAGGGCAGGGTGCAACTGCCCCTGTGAGTTGAGAGACGGTCACTCTTTACAGGAGGAGAAGGCCCTGTCCTCCCATGGAGCGGCTGGTAGTTTCAAACAGCTGACCTTGTGGATCAACCCAGCGTGTCACCACGGTGTCACCAGATCCATATGGGTTTTGCGTGTCTTTGTTCATGAGTCCCTTTAGCCCCACGTTCCTTTTCCCTACCCTGTTCACCTGCTCATGCCCTCTGTGCCCCTTAACTTCACAGGTCACCTGTCCTGAGCAACCTTTCTTAACGTCTTTCCTGGACAGGGCTGGGTGAGGAGGCGGCCTCCGAGCTCCCCTGTACACCTTTGTCTTACCTCTGAACATGCCTGGCACAGTGAATTAGAGTTGTCTCTCCCCAAAGGAGCCGGTGCTCCTTAAGAATAAGCACGGCCGCGTCTCTCTGCTCAGGAAGTAGACTAGAGACACCCTGTCTGTAACGACGCTGCACAGTGCGGGCGGCTGGCTTTCCATGGTTGGCAAACAACGCTGCAGGCCAAATCCAACCTCGGTTTTGTTTCTGTAGGGTCTTTGGTCTCAGAATAGTTTTCACATTTTTAAAAGATGGTTGGAAAAAACAAAAAGACAGAGGCCAAGTGTGACTCTTCACAAAAAAAGTTTGCCAGCCTCTGCACTAGAGAAAGCGAGTGTGCTCAGCCCCTAGCCAAACCCCATCCCACCACTTGTACAAAGTTAGGCAGCCTTGTCCTCGTTGCCAGCCTTTCACCCCGTAGGAAATCTCAGGGTTGCCTGCTAGACATCTGCCCGGGAGCCCGCTGGGGGCCCTAACATGTTGGCATCTTGGAGGCAGGAGGTGGCATTGAGTCATGGAGAGGTTAAGACACAGCCTAGACCACCAGATACCAACCAATCAACCAGAGAGCTGACATCCTGTAGGACAGGGTAGGATGGCCCGTGTGGGCTTCCGAAACTAGCTCTACGGGAGTAGAAAGCCTTATCTTTCTCCCTCGGATCAGCTGGTAGTTGAGAACTGCTGACGTTGTGGTTAGCAGTGGATTTAAATTGAATCTTCACCATGGGAGATTAAGTTAGTGACTTGGTCTCCGAGCCTCCCATTTCCCCACAGGGATAAAGTAGAGATTGCGACATAGTGGCTCAAAGCACAGACTCTGGAACTAAACTTCTCAGCATTTCCTACAGCTCTGCCCCTGAGGATTAGTGCATCTCTAGGTAAATCATTAAGCCTCCTAGGTTCCTCATCGGTCAGGTCGAAAGGTAAGTCATCAGTACCTGTAAAGCACAGAGAGCGGTCCCCGGGACAGAAGGAGCACTCTGTACATGTTAGTACCAGTACTAGTCGCAGTTGCTGGGACAGCCGGGGATTAAAGAGCACACCCATCTCAAGTTTCTGTTGGCCATTAAATGGGGGCCAATACCAAGCAGAGTGCCGGATACCCAGGAAGAGGGAGCTGTGAGTCCTAACCGTGACTGTCTCCCCTGGTGCAGATGGTGAAGGGCTATTCGAACCGGGCCAGGAAAGCTCGTCTGGCCGAGCCCCAGCTGCAGGAGCAAAATGACCTGGGCCTTTTTGGCAAGTGGCAGACAGAGGAGTACCAGCCCCCTGTGGCTGTGGATGGGAAGGTAAGGACAACGGTCAGGGTGGGTTCCTCTCGCCAACGGCTCGCCAAATCCTGGTGTGTCCCTCTCTGCAGGTACCCCGGAATGAGTTTGGGAATGTTTACCTCTTCCGGCCCTGCATGATGCCAGTCGGCTGTGTGCAGCTGAATCTGCCCAACCTACAGCGTGTGGCCCGCAAGCTAGACATTGACTGTGTACCAGCTGTCACCGGCTTCGACTTTCACGGGGGCTATTCCCACCCAGTGTGCGTGAGGGGCTTCTGATGGAGGCAAAAGGAAGCAGGAGGAAGCGGCCGGCCGAAAAGGGGGTGGGGGGAGTGGAAGTGGGCTGGTGGAGGTTGAGACCCAGCATCTTTCATTGTCAAGTCTTGCCACTGACTTGAGAACTCAAACGTAACGTTTCACAGGATAGGCAGCAGCACGCTCACCATGCCGGTTTAACACTGTTCCCTGTTTGTGGGTCAGCACAGTGAGGAAAGCAGGGTGCGTGTCCTTCTGAGGGCTGCTGGCCCGCCCTCTGTTCTGCTCTGGGGTGGGCTGGGGAGGAAGCTGTCGGTCCAGTCTCTCCCTAGGCCTGCCTTCTGCGTGGGGAGTATCTCACTGGCTGTGGACCAGCATGACGGCATGACTCAGGGTGTCTTAGTGCTCTGAAGAGCAAGGCGAGAAAGGTCAAGGCAGGCCCCGAGAAGACCCACCCTGCCTTCTTTGTCCCCCAGCACGGACGGCTACATTATCTGTGAGGAGCATAAGGAAGTGCTCCTGGATGCCTGGGACCGGGAGCAGGACCTCATTGAAAAGAAGGAGAAAGAGGTGAGCAGTGTCGCAGAGGGCGGTGTGCTGAGGTCTCCCTCCTGGGCTCCCCTGCTCCACGTACAGGAACACAGAGCAGGCACTCCAGGGGGCCAGGACTGTGGAAAACAGGCCACCGGGCTCTTCATCTACCTGTCTGTAGTCGACATCCTGGGTGTGCCGGTCTCCTACAGTTTCAGTCTGTCACAGTAAGAGGAGGCCTGGCAGCACCTGGTGCGCGGCCTGGTTGCTGCGCATCGAGCACCTCCACAGGACATAGACTCCATCAAAACGACAGTCTAGAGAGCCCGCAGGCAGCTCGGCTCTGACGCAGGCTCCCTGTGAGCTGGAGACGGACTCGAGAGCCTCCAACACGATACCCGTGCTGGTGACATGGGCGGGTTCTCCCCTCCACGATCCCAGCCAGCGCACCTGGTCTGCAGCCACCAGTAGAGGGGTGTGTGCATGTTGTGACGTGGACCAGGTGTCAGCAGCGCTTCCAGACTTAGGACACGTTAGGAGAAAGCCTGGCAGTGCACTTACCAGTGATCGGTTGGTAAGAGCCCGGGGCCTGGCAGTGATGCCATCCACAACCTACAGACTGGCAGTGCTTTCTCCCATTGTGCACGGGCCTGCAGACCACAGCAGCCGTGAAGGGGCTGCGGTTGTCCTGGGTGCTGAAGGATTGGCAATATAGATGAGATTAAATGTTCAAATGAGATTTTGAGTAATTGTGAAGCTTAATTTTTAACCTAAAATCGATTGCCCTCTATACATAATCACAGGTTCCGTCTAGATGTTTTTCTTCAAAATACCAGTGCTTACTTAACATTTTCTGACCTGCAGAAAAAGGAGAAGCGGGCTCTAGGGAACTGGAAGCTGCTGGCCAGGGGCCTGCTCATCAGAGAGAGGCTGAAGCTTCGCTATGGGACCAAGGTCAGTGCGGCTTTTGTCAGAGCAGCAAGTCTGGGTCAACCTTGAGGGGCCAACGCACACCGCGGGCCAGGCCCTCACAGACTTAGGTCATGACACCACTCGGGTGTCTGCCAGCTCCTCCCATGCCCAGCACTACTCTGACGTCCCTTTCCCGCTACTGTCTACCCAAGTACCTCCCGTTGTTGTCTGCTCTGCGCCAGCTGCCACCCGGACAGGCGTCCTGTCAGTCTTTCTGACGACCGCATTCAGACTCCCTGCGTGGTTCAGACTGGGGCTGTTTACCTAGCGTGCCCCAGCAGCACTGTGCGGAAGGGCTCCCACACAGGGCCAGACAAACCAGTTCACGTTCTCAGAGAGCAGAGATCTGCCCTGAGCACAGCTTTACTCCCCTCTAGCTCTACTGCATACGTGCATTTAAAAATCTGTTTGTCATTTCTCTCGCGCGCACAGCCTTTCAGTGAGCCCTTTGGCTTTCTGCTCTGACTGGCGCCTTGCTGCCCTGCCCATGCCCACACCCTGCCCTTGCCCACGGTTCCCACCTGGTATTAGGTGCTCTTGAGTTCCTTTCACCCGGAGCAATCATACACCCGACAGAAGGATGCTGCCAGCTGCCAGCCGCCTCACAGCCGTTCCTGTGTGTGTCTGAGCTCTGGCCGTTGTGTCCGTCCACCTCCTTGAGGGCCTTCCTCTTTTTCGCTGCCCCTCTGCTTTGCCAGGCATGATGTCCTTCTCCAGGGACTGGTCCCTCCTGACAGCACGTCCACAGTACGTGAGCCAAATCTCACGGTCCTTGCCGCTAAGGACCATTCTGGCCGTACTTCTTCGAAGACAGATTTGTTTGTCCTTTTAGCAGTCTGTGGTACTTTCAATTTGTACCAACTTTACTTCAGTAATGCACCAAAAAAATGTTATACTTGTCTGATCCCCCCAGCTTTTGTCCCCGATTATGTCTTTATACTTCACGTGTCCTGAAACATCATGTTGTACTTGCTTTTTACACATAGTTCATTAAGAGCATGAAGGACAGAACGATTCAAAGTATCAAGTGTGGACGCCTCAGCCATAGCCCTTATTCGTGCACATGCAGTTCCCTTTATGAAGGGTCTTTCTTTTTATGGATGCCTGTGAATTATTTCTTGATGTCTTTTCCTTCCATCTCCAAAATTCCCGTTAGTACTTCTTGTGAGGTTAGTCTGGGTGGATGTGAACGATCTCATTTTCTAGGAATGTTTCAGGTTCACTCCTATTACTGACCAACAGTTTCGCTGAGTGTAGGGTTCTTGGCAGAAGACTTCTATCAAAACTGGCTATGTCACCCCAGTACGTTCTGTCCTCAATATTCCTGAGGAGAAAGAGGCACACACTGTCAGTGACTGTCACTTCTCTCTCCTTACTTATTGTGCATGGTTATAATATATAAAAGTTATAGTAAGGTAATAGAGAATAAGAGATGGGAGAGAGTAAAATAAAGGAGGACCGGAAGAGAGAGCCTCTGTCTTTATTTCTGACCAAGGCTTATATAGACTTAGGGGTGTGCTTACAGGCGACCATATACATCACAGGAAGGGGACGTAGGGGATGAACTAGGGGTGTACATGTAACAGGAAGGGGAGGGATTGGGGGTACACGGGACAAGATGAGTAGACCCTAGACTCAATATGGCAGCCTAACCCTTGAGTGGGTTTGACCTCTCTGGGCTTTCCTTCAGGGAGACAATCACTATCCTTATCAGAAGGGAGTGGGCCCTACTTAGGGTAGGACAGACTGTAGAGTGATTGTTCCAGATGGCTGATAACCCCCAGGGAGGATAACCTCTAAGCGGCTTGCACTGAGCTCCAAGTGTACAGTCATTTACCATGAGTAGCAGGCAGCATCTTGGGTTTGGCATATATTTGGAGAGACAACCTGGGGAAGGACCCTTTTGCATCCCAGGCTTATTAGAAGCCCAACTATGATCGCAGGGCTGTAAGTCTCTGGCTTTATCCTACTGGGAGTATTTGGAGCTGCGTGGATTTGTAGAGCCATGATCAGGTTGAGGCCGTTTTCTTTATTTCTTCAAATATTCTTTCTGTCCCTTTCTTTTTCTCATCTCTTGGAATTACCGTGATGCCCACATTAAGACGCGTGTGATGTCCCGTAATTCCATTACGTTTTGCGCGGCCGCCTTGAGCCTCTGCTGCTGCTCTTCAGCCTCTGCCATCTTAATTATCTTCACTGCTCTTCCTGCCGCCTGATTAGATCCGTTGACAAGTCTTTCCATTGTTTCTCACTTCAGTGCTTGTTGCTTTCCGTCACGGTATCTGTTTGGTCTGTATTGGTTTTTTTAGATCCCATTTTGTCTTGCATTGTTTTTATGTCTCCACGAGAGCTTTGTCTTTCAGATCTCTTCACGTGTGTTTAGTATGATCACGTGCTAGTCTCCGTCTTGGCGCTAGCCCGTCGTGCAGATCTCGCTTCATAATGTACTCGTGTTCAAAACCGGGGGAGCAGAGGCAAAGCGCCAGTCAGTCACCCCAGATTCCCTGCTAGCCGCCCGATGGCTTGCCCTCCTCGTGCCCAGCTCACAGCAGGTTCTCGCACCTGCTCCAGTGAGCCCTACTGACGGGCGAGGGGGTAACAGCCACGTGAGTGGGAAGCACGATTGGGATATGAGTGGGAAAAACCAGGGCGGTTTCAGCTCTTCCCACCAACTCCTGGCGTCTCTAGAGCCACCCCACTCGAGCTGGCTGGAGGCTGGACCCAGCACTGGGAGCTGCCCTCCCTCCTGACAGCATTCCCTGACGTCTCGTTACTAACCGGTGTCGGGCGTTTCCCTCCCTCATCTCCCATCTCGCAGAGTGAGGCAGTCGCTCCCCACATAGATGCCGGGGGCGGGCTCTCTTCCGACGACGAGGCGGGCACCAGCTCCCAAGCAGAAGCCACCAGGATCTTGGCAGCGTCTTGGCCCCAAAACCGAGAAGCTCACGACCAGAAGCAGCAGTGCCCTAAGACCAAAAGGAAGAAGAAGGAGATGACGTCCCATCTGTTTCCCTTTGAGAAGCTGTGACGCTGTCCCCTTCTGCGCTGAGGCAGGTGCCCAGGCCCTCGCAGCACTGACTGTCCTGCAGAGAAGAAAAAAACAGCCACGCCGGTTTGACCTGGCTCCAGCCCACGTTCGACTTACTGACTTACCCAGAAGGCCTTCAAAGCTTTTTGCTACCAAGCCTTAGCCTTTGAGCGATGGCAAGCTTCCCAGGAGACCCTGTCCTGCCACCTAGTCCACGTTGGGCTTATCTTTGGTGATGTGGGTCAGTTTTTCTATAGACACCACCGGGGACATAGTCGACAACGATGAGTCGACCGGCACATCATCTTTTCTCAACACATCTGCTAAGTTCCCCACCCGGCAAACACTGCTTTTGTCTGTCTGACGGACTTCTGTGAAGGCCACGTCCTTTCTCCTGAATCAGCTATCTTCTGGTGCTGCTACTTGTCTCTGGTCAGTTACACGGAGCGGGAGTGCAGGGGACTGTCAGTCGTGGTGGTGGAGGAATCTGCTTTCTGAAGTAGCATTTTGTGCTTGTAGAAAACTAGAACTAAGAGTTAAAATTGGGGAAGGTAAAGACTAAGAATTTAGGACATGTTTGTTCAACTATATATTTTTTTCATTACTAGATAAATTTAAAAGTTATAATGCACCGTACATACACAGAGAAAGAACTCAAAATGTTTTGAGGAAAATAATAAAAGCACTTATCCAAAAAGAGTCCACATTTTCTTCAGATTTGAGGTCAGTTAAAGGGTGTGACTCGTACTAACCCAGGTTACATGTTGAGACCACATTAAAAATCAAGTGATTTCCGGTTACATACATGGATTCTCCCTCCTCTCTCCTGCTCTCTGCTTCTGTTTCTCCCCCTGCCCTTTCTCTATTACTTAATCTTAGACAGGGACCATTAACATTTGAGAAGTTATATCCAAGGGAAACACACAAAACACTTGGGTATGACTCACATGTAGCAAGAGCCTGGCTGGAACACTCTTGTTGAGAACACACTGGTGTTGCTGTGGAAACCACGCCCGTGATTCCTGAGCCGCAGCACACATGCTCTGCTAGAGGTAATGCAACTTTTTTTTTTTTTTTTGGTGGTGGTGGTGTTTTGAGACAAAATAATCCTGTGTCTAGAGAAGTAACTCTTATACAGGCAGATGCTGACTACAAGGAAGCTTTCTGAAAACGACATCAAACATTAGGCTTTGAAAAATAAAAGAATGCGTTTTGGAAAATCATCTCACCTCTTTCAAATGCTGTACCAGAAACACAGTACTAACCTGATAGCGTGTGGGGTGGGGGGAGGGGGGGAAAAGATGCATTTCACAGGGCTTATCTGAGGTCAGAGCACGCCTTTCCGCTGAGATGAGGAAACAGGGCAGTGCCCAGTGGTTTGCCCAACCTCACAAATACCTCCAGTGGCAGGCTTAGGAATTAGACTCAAGTCTGCACTAACCAAAGCCCAGGGTGCCCTGGGCACTGTTTCCTTCAGCTGCCCATGCCACCTCTTGGCACATTCTTAAGATGGGTCAAATGGGAGTCACTCACTTTAAATCAAGCCAAAGATAACGTGGGCATTTGTATCTGCTAGAAATAATGGAATTGCCTTCAAAAAGCAAAACAAGAAAATGTAATACTTCAGCGACTAAAAACTATTTAGAGCTAAGTTCTATGGCTAAATACTCTAAAATAGAAATTTCAGAAAGAATACAAATACAAGGATAAATAGCAAGATTCCTTAACAAACGATATTTACATTTTTATTTTGACTTCTCATCAAAAATACTAATAAAAATCTCATGGTGGCTTTTCAAAGGCTTTAACAGTATTTTACTCTCTGGGAACAGTTTTTGAATTGTCAGTAATTTAAAATCTATTAAGAAAATGACAAACCAAATGCGAGGGTTTTCTTCGTTAGCGTCTCATTCTGTGTCCGTTTCTGAGAGCCATTAAGAGTTAGAAGTCAGGGCAAGATATGACAAAATAACAATTTATAAACTATCAAGGGCTCATGAGGGAGGGGGGAGCGGGGAGGGAGGGGAAAACAGGACCTAATGTCGGGGGTTTAAGTGGAGAGAAAATGTTTTGAGAATGATGTACAAATGCGCTTTACACAATTGATGTGTGTGTGGATTGTGATGAGTTGTATGAGCCCCTAATAAAATGTTTTAAAAAAAAAGAGAAAGGTCAGATGACTGCTGTGTCAGGCTTAAACTCCGATGGACAGTGGTAGGGCCGGCTGTTTTGTCATTGAAAGAATCTCTAACAGCTATCCCAGAGCAACAGAGATTATTCAGCCATGGACCCCTTACTAAACTAAAGCAACCACCTCCAGCAATGTCAAAAGTTTCTGAATATCGGGAAAGATGTATAAAGAATCTTTCAAGACAGCAAGTTAGCACACTCTCTCAAAAAGGGTGTCAGGGTCATTGGGGAACTTGGCAATGATGTAACTCCGTGTTGGGAGATTTTATTTAACAGGAGACTGTGGAGACAGCACAGAGCAAAGCCTTTCAGGGCAGCTTCTGAGGTGTGCACGCCCTCGCCATACGGAGGGCGGGCCAGGTGTAGGCATAGGATGGCTGGCCTGCAGCCCTAGTTGATCCTGGCCACCACGCAGGACACACAGTATGAACGCATGCAGCAGCCTTCAATGGTTCAGTAGAACTTTCAAGTAAATGGGCACTTTGATACCAGAGGATGAAAGAAAATACTTGTCTCCGTCCTGTAGCGTTCTTTCTCATCCCAAAGTGCAAAATCCTAACATTTGTTTTAAAACTTCCCATTAAACCCAGGTCACCTTTATTTTGACCCACTACAGCCACACCTCAATTTAACATTTTTTCTTCGTAGGCAGATTGAAGGCCGTATTTCCTTAAGTCTGAAATGTTAATCAGGGGTTTTGGGTTTGCTCGTTTCACAGTACTACTAATTGTGCTTTGGGTGAATGTCTACACTTTTTGTGACATTGATCTCAACCCCCACATCACCGCACTGGTCCCTCCTGTTTCCGTTCAGGGCACTTCCTGGGCCTCCTGCCTTCTGAGCCGCATTCCCGGCAAACGCTGTCCTCTTGGTCACACAGGTGGTCGCTTGTTGGAAGCAGCGCACACCTCCCTGGAGTTAGTGTTCACCTGTCTAACCTTTGACCAAAAGGTGAGCCAAAGAGTGAATTCAGGTCCACGTCTGGAGGGTGTCTAAAGGCCGTGTCTCAGTTCCACTGTCTCTATCAGACCAGAAAGCCTGGTCTTTTTTTTCCCTTTTGCAACTGTTTCCACGTGTCTTTGATTCTTATTCTTTGCTGCAGACAGGGAAGTGACCCGTAGCTGTACCTGTAACGGCCACTCCAAAGTTTTGAAGATCTCAGTCACTGCTCACCAAAGTAGCACGTAGATCACTGTATTTGAGGGCTGCGTATGCCAGTTGGCCCTGGTGTCACCCCAAACTGATCCCGAGCCCCTAAGCACTCAATCCTTGGTTACAGCTCAATAGTTTCCCTAGATCTGTCCCTTGTATGTTCTGCATTCATGGAAATGAGGGTAAGTACTGTTACTAGGTTACAGTTCACACCACACCTGGGTTTATTCTAAAAACATGTTTACACATGTCTCTACAATCACTTGAAAAAACAAACTCACTGCCATCAAGGGGAGCGAAGACAGAGAGAGGAAGGGAAGAGCTGAGGCCAAGGGGAATCTTTATTGTGATTAGATATATACCTTTGGGGGGTGTGCAAGTCCCCTAATTACAGGTAAAGGCATACATCACAGGAAGGGGTTGCACTATAGGTTATACAGCAATGAGAGGGGGACAATCTAGGGATATACACACAATAGGAAGGGGAGGGTTTGGGGGCACACGTGACAAAGATGGGCAGATCCTAACTGGATGTCACTGAGCAGGTTTGACCTGTTCTCTGGATCTCCATAGAAACCATTATCAGTAGGGTGTGAACCCCACCTACAGGGACCAAAGCCAGGCAGCAAGCCTTTAGGGAGAAGTAGCCCATTGTCCTAACAGCAGGAGTGGGCCCTACCTGTGGTAGGCCCAGACAGTACTCTGGCAAGTGACTGCCCTAAGGGAGGATGTCTCTAAGCATCTGATCTCCCACCACAGGCTGGCAAACCTTTAATGTTTGGCATATCTTTGGGGGAGACAAAGCTGAGGAAAAGTCTCTTTATAATCCCACATCGGATTTTCCAATAAAATCGCAAGTAAGGTCTACTCCAAATAGATTTAAAGGTTATCTGCTGGGTCAATGAATTGATGGTTCAGATCGGCTCAGGTGACAGTGACTGTTTTGGGGAATTCCAAAAGTGTAATCTTAATAGATTTTCCCATGAGACAGAATGATCATGGAAGCTTATTAGGAAGAAGTTCTAAGAAAAGGGAAAACTGCACATTGGTAAGAAAAAGGCCCGGCAAGTTTTGCCAAAGATTTGATACCCACCCTCAGTGAAGGCAGCAAGGGTGATCCTACACTAATTTTGTGGGAACATTTTGCCCTAGCCATTCTCGTCCTTTAAGAGTTTAATCTGGAAATCTTCCCCTACTCAACCTCTGGCCATCGGCTTGCCCCTTCAGATTTCAAAGGGATACAATTTAAGTCCCTCGAGCATGCTGAAATTGTTTTGATGTGGTATTAATGGAAGAGTGTAAAATAAAACACGGCCTTCAGAAGCATCTAGACCAAGATGAAAGAAAAGATGTCAAGAAACAAGAGCTTCCCATTTTGGTAGTTTTATTTTAAAAAGCCCTATGATTCTGTAGCAATACTTTCTGGCTTACCCTCATATTCGCAACACATTTTCAGAATAGCCTGTCAAGCCTATATATATATTCATAGGCATAGTCCCACTTACCATCCTACCTCTGGAGGTTTTTTGTTGTGTTTTCAATTGTATGTTCAAAAATTCCTTCCTGGGGTAGGAACGGATACAAGAAGTCTGTTATTCATAGCAAAGATGATTTTATAAACAGGACTTCTGGAGATCCTTTACAATAAAAAGATTCTGCCAGACCATAAGCCAAGTATAAAGCCCAATAGCTGCCCAACTTTTCCTCATGACTACATCCTCAGTGTGGTGAACTATCATATCGTGTTCTGCTCAAACATGTGTTTTGGTGCTTGCCAGGCGCGTGCTCGGTCTAGAGGTGATCCGCTGCTGTTTAGCAGTAACGGCGCCCTTTAGGGCCCTAAATGTGTGTGGTGGTTGTGGCAGGGTCCTGGCACTTCAGGGATGGGAACCAGTGAGGATGAGGCTTCGCCCCTGTATCAGCAGTCTCTGTGGAGCGTCACTGCATTGTTACCTTCTATATACAGATGAGCTAAGTGGAACAAGCTACCTCAGCCGCTACACCAGGTTACAAGAGAACAAACAGGAGAATGCGTAACACTGTCCGTTGTAAGCTGCCTCTGTCCACCAAAGCCGCTCATATTGGCAATAGAAGAGGTGGGGGAGGCATTAGCTGACGAACACCAAACCCCGGCAAGTGCACATGGCAGTCAGGCTCCTCCGAGTGGCGAGAACGGGAAACCCAATCGATTCACACTCAGGAGGTGGTGACTTGGATCAGGCAGACGCCAGGGCCTGTCTCACTCCAGCTTTTTGGCCTGCACCCGTGTCCGAGCGATGATGATGGGCACCAATGCCAGGCAGCCGATGAAGAGGGCCCACAGGGGCCGGTAGAAGAGCCAGCCAGCAGCAACCGTGAGCAAAGTCAGCGAGGTGGCCACGCAGAAGGCGAAGGCTTTTAGACCAATGTTGACCAGGTCTCGGAAGACAGGAAACCAGTCCACTGCGGAGAAGGGAAGGCACTGAGTTCAGGGGGCCGATGTGCTCTGCGTCACACAGAGCAGCTCATTCCCTTCCTAGAGAGGGGTGGTCCTTGCCGCCCGTGAATAAGAAGAGGGATGGCTTAGTGGTGGAAGGCACGGAAGCACATACTTAACAACTGGTTGGTTGTGCGTAGCCTGGGGCCGCCCACTTGGCCCGAGGGACACAGAAGGGATGTACACACTTTACCTACTGATAGTGGTCTGAGGTCAATACAAAGACACTCAGCTGTTGTTAGCTGGTCTTTCCCCTGGATTCTCACAAACTCGTAGATGGAGCTCTCTAGGGCTCGCTGGGCTGCTCTGTTATCGCTCCACTGGAGCAGCAAGCTGTGACTACATACCGAATGCCCAGCTCTGGGCAGGGCTAAAGAAAATGTTTTCGCCTCGGCCTTGGCCCCGCCTCAGGACCTCGCAGCAAGCTCTTGTCCCATAGGTGGAATCTAGGTCCCAGCAGCACTGTGGGTTAGGCTGATACACCACAAAACCAGTAGTTCAAACCCACCAACTACTCCTCAGGAGAAAGATGAGGTCGTCTGCTCCCATACAGGTCTTCCTGAGCACAATTCAAACGTCCAAAAAACTGGGTTCTTCCCCTCCCTGGGCCTCAGTTTCCTACCTGCAAAATGAGGTATGTGGCCCCCCTAGCTTTAAAGTCAGGGCTTTCTTGCAGCCACATTTCTCCCCAACCTACAGCGGGAAGAGGAGTTTCTATTGAGGTCCAGGGAAAGTTGGACAGACTCTTCTGAGCAGCGTGGATTAGGACACAAACTGGGATAAAGGCTTAGGAAAGTCCCCTTGAAGCCCCAGCCTCTGGGCTCAACACTCAGACCGGCTCTTCCTCACCCACCCTGGGACTTACAACCTGAATCAGGCCAGGTTACTGGGCTTTTACTGGGCTTCCTGGCTCTAGCCTTGGGCCAAGTGAGCAGCCCAGCAAACTCTACCCTGGGCTCCAAACTTGCTGGCTGCCCCAAATCCAGCTCGGTCATAGTAGAGCTGGGGAAGGAAACGTAACAGTTTTTTAGTGTTTCCTATTTGCATGTTCGGTGTGAAATAACTGAAGTGGAGATGGGGAAGGGACTGACCCAAGTACCCAGAACTCCTACAAGCAGCTTGGGCTTGTAGGACGATCAGTGAGAGAGCTAGTGGACAGGGGAACCAGTGGACGGACCCTGAGATCACGAAGGCTGGCAGCCACCTCATATAAGCCTGGCATGCACGTTACCTGCGCAAGGACATGGCAGGTACTCCATGTATATGGCTGCCTTCCTCCTTTGCTCAATTCATCCCAAAGTTAGAGGGTGGGGCATAGGCCCTGGAGCAGAAGACAGGGCCCTGTGACAGGCACAGGGAGACGCTCAGGGCTGCAAGAGGGTGCAAGGGGCCCTGTGGCCTCCCCCTGCATCTCCACACCCACCTAGCGTATAGAGGATCCGGGTCATGAGGTTGAGGCCCATGAACATGGCCATCCAGCCAGCGGCTCGCAGACCCCAGGTCTTCATGGAGTTGCTCTTCTGTTCTCTCTGAAACACCTCCTGCGGAACAAGGGAGGGAGAAAGTGGTCGCGACTCTCACGGGGTCACAGGCTGACCGGCCGGCAAGGATGAGTGCTGAAGGGCCATGCCCACCCAGAAGCTGGCACTACCTCTGGGCAGATCAGAGGGAGACAAGGAAAAATCGGCTGCAGGGCCCTGTTCTCCGCCCAGCGGGCACAGCACAGGGAAAGAGAGAAGAAACGTGTAATGGAGTGGCTGAGCCTTCCGCAGCAGCATCCCACCCCCTGCAGCTACTGTAGCCCACTGTGTCATCTGTAAGCAGCCTGACTCTCCTCCATTCGGCACCGGGCTCTATGGAGCCTTTATCACCGTCCCTCAATAGCTGGTGGTGCCTGCATGTTGGCGTGCCCAGCGCCACGCTGTGTGTGTGATCTGATGACTCGGAACACAGCTGTGGGAACAGCCTCTTCTCCTCCTTTCCAACTCGCTCCTTGGTCTCCATTGGTTCCTTCTCACCCTCCTGTCCTCTCAAGGTTGAAATCCTCGAGCCAGTCTTCCCACGGAATCCCATCCACTGGCTCACAAAGGGAAAGCTGCGGCTCAGGCTCCTCCTTCGGATTTCACACGTGTGTAGCTCCCGCTGCCTCCCTGACAGCTCGCCTGGATGTCCTCAAACCTCTAGCACGGCCTCCACGCCGCCTCACTCGTGGCTGTCTTCCCCGTCTCAGCCAGGGGTACAAGCAGCCGCCTGCCCAAGTCAAAGTCTAGGTGATCCACCTGATGTTCTCCCTCGCCATCTCGAATTCAATCCATCAGGCAGTCCTGTCAACTCTACAATGTTCTCCCAAATCTCTCTCCTGTCCACCCCCTCATCTCTCACTTATGTCGCTGAACTATGGTAAAAGCTTCCTCCTCACTGGCCTCCTGCTTCTACCTGTCAATCCCACAGCAGCCTGCCCAGGCCTCGCTACTCTGACCCCAAAGCCTGCATCCCAGCCCGGGGCTACCTGGCCAGACTTGCCTCCTTTCCACGGTGGGGCTCGATGTGCCTGCAGCAACAATATGGTCTTCGTTCTCTTCTTTAGAGACCCCATGAGACCCCCGTGTTGTAATCTCTAGCACTAATAATAGTAATAGCTAGTATTTTCACTTAACGCTCAGTCACAGTCCCTAAGTATTTTTACAAGTACAAAGGGGTTTCAAAGAGTGCCTTTCTGGAAAAAATGGAATGAGTAGACAATGGAGTTTTTCCACCAACTTTTTAAAGCCCCCTTGTGTTAGCTTATGCAATCTTCAAAATAACTTGATAGGGTGGCACTTATCCTCATTTTACTAATGAAGAAACTAAAGTTCCGAGAAGATAAGTAACTTGCTCGGACTCTCATTTCATGAAGTTATCTATATTCTATGTTCCCAAGGCAGGGGTCACATCTGCTCCCATCTTCGCTATCTCTCGAAGACAAGAAACACATGTTGAATGAAGGAATAATCTTCATAAAACCGAGTAAAGTAATAATAAACAAATATTTCCATTGTACAGGAGGGGATACAATCTCAGTGAGGATACAAACAGAATCCAAGGGCAGAGGTGATGCTGGCTTACAGCCACCCTATAGGACGTGGAACAGCCCCTGTGAGTTTCTGAAACAGTAAAGTAACTCCTTATGGGAGTAGAGAGGCCCATCTTTCTCCTGAGGAGAGACTGGTGGTTTCGAACTGCTAACCTTGTGGCTAGCAGCCTAATACATAACTATTAAGCCACCAAGGCTCCTGATCGGGTCTGAGGTAGGCAGAGCCTAAATTGGGCCTGTGTCTGATGTCCAGGTTTAGAACCACTACTCAGTACCATCTGGAGCCCCACCCACTCCTCTCTGCTGGGGCAGATCTGAGACCCTGCAGAAGATGGAAGCCCGGGGCTGGGCAAGTCTCCTAATTTTAGAACCCCCACCCCCCAGCCCCCTGAAGGGGGCAGTCAGAACTTGGTTGGAAAGTGAAAGTCCCATCCTGAGGTGGGTGACTGGGCTCCTGGGCAGCAGCCTGACCACACCCTGCTGGGCCAGGTTTAAGGAGTGTGTGTGGCCCAAGCCCTGCCATGGGGCTGTGAGGCTGACGGGAGAGGTGAAAACTGAGGGTCTCATATAGGGACAAAGGGTCACAGGTAGTCCTTGACACCCGCTTTTGCCTACTCCCTTCCTAGCCCGCCAAAGGGGCCCTGGTAGCACAGTGGGTTAAGTGTTGGGCTGCAGTTCAAAACCACCAGCCACTCCTAGGGAGAAATGAGATTTCCCATTCTTATAAAGAGAAAGAGTCTCAGAAAGCCACGGGGCCAGTTCCACCCTGTCCTATAAGGTGGCTGTGAGACAGAAGTAACTCACTTCTGGAGCGTTCCTGATGACAAGCCCCACAGTCTACGAAAGGCCAGTACAGAATGTCTCACTGTGCCACATACAGTGTAAAAACTCCTAATCTTCCGTTAAAGAGAAGGAATCGTTGCCTAGAGAGGCAAACCTGGGAGACACAAAGTGGAACTGGTGGTTCTATCTTTGTACAGCCTCTAAGGACTCAGGTGAGGCACGATCCTTCCCATTTCACACAGTGGGGACGGAGGGAGGCCCACGGAGCTCGAGGGGCAGTTGTCTAAAGGGTGCTAGCCCAGGGAGGGCCAGCGCTTTACCCTCACTGGGACTCTTGAGTTAGTACACACCTCACAGTGTACCTCTGCCCACCAGCCCAGCCCCAGCACCCACGCCCACTCCCCACGAGGCCTCCCTCTGGCCTTCACGAGGCCCTTCTCCCCGCCTGAACGACTGCAGACCTGACTCCTCCAGGACTGCCTCCATCGCATGTCCATCTGAGTGAGCATGGCACCCAGAGCAGCCTTCCTTGACTGCCGTCCAAGCCAGTATCCCGTCTGCCCCTTTCCCGCGGGGCAGGTCCTCCGAAGGCTCTTCGTGACCCTCCGCACAGCCTGCCCTTCCTGGCTAGCCTTTCTGCTCGCACTCGACCACAGGTCTGCGGAGGGGAGTCTGCTTCGCTCGCCAGCCTCCCCTCAGTGCCCAGCGCGGTTGGGCATGCTGAGGGAGGGATTATTCCGGCCTTGCCACACAGGCTATGTCCTCTAGAGGAGCCCGTTGAGTCACTGTCAGAGGAGAGACAGGAGGAAGGAACAAGCTGGCCCTCCCTCCATCACTCACCTCTGCTGAGAAGTCCCCGTGGTGCAAGAGAAGCAAGGTGTTCCCAGACTTGGTGGAGTATGGGACTAGCTGGTCACCTCGCTGCCGGGCAACTACAGTGACCTAGGGGAGAACTCAGTGTCAGAGCTGACGGGGTGATCAGAGAACTGGCACATGTCGAGAATCCCCTCTCCCAACTGCCAACCCGTCTGGCCTGGCCACAGCAAGCCCTCTGGGGAGATAGGCTAATGAGGGAATGAGTGACAAGAAGCCAGCATCGTCCCTGCCCGGGACTTCTCTGTCCACAAGTTTTTCCTAGGGTACACCCAGCCCTAGGGGCGTCAGCGGTTTCATCTAAAGCCCCAGAGAGGGCCGTAGCAAAGCCATGGGCGGGAGTGGGGCTGCATCTACTAGGGTCAGGAACATAAGACCAGACATTTATCCACCAAAGGCAGGGGGCGGGAAGCAGCAGGTTTGGATGTTATTAGAAGAAATTATCATGGGTAATTATGAAATCCCTCTAGACTTGCCCAGGTCCACATGGGTTCTGGGGGACACGAACCTCTGGATTAGCTCAAAAGCACGCATGAGTCCCCAAGAGAGTCGTGCCCAGTGCAAGGCCCTGAAGCCCCTCCGACACCCACTTACCACATGAGCAGGCCCCAGGTCGGGGTCGTCCCCACTCAGTCCTGCATAGGAGAAGGAAACACGCAGGTCTCCCACCTGTGGGTTAGAAAACATCTGAGATGAGTGGATCAGAAGCTGCTGCCAGGGTCCGCCAGCTATCACCCCCCTTTCGCTGAACTCCTTTCCCTCCGACATCCCAGTGGCTAACTGCAGCTGTGTGACTGGCAAAGCTCAAACAGGAACCTGGCTGCGTGTGCTGTTTCCTAAGGCCCTGATCTGTGCTGTGCAGAGAGCCCATGCCTGCTGTGTACCTCTGGATACTTGGGGTTCTCGCTGTGGTAGAAAAAGTCTCCCCGGCGGATGATGTCCACGTGGGGGTCCTCCAGCTTGGACAGGCTCAGGGGCTTGAAGTTATCGACTTTGTCAATGAGACCTGAGAGCAGCAGGGTGGTTAGGAACAGGGACGTATAACAAAAAAAATCCCCAATCTATGAATGCTCTCAGCCTGACT